TCTTCTCCTAGTACACAGTTAACATTCCACATTTGTCCAGCACTCTGTAATTTATTGGATCTCATCTGTCCAGACTTTGATTTATATATTGATTTGAAAAATAAATAAAAGTGATAGGAACCTGCATTGGGGTGTAATGATGGACTGTGTCGACATGCAGGAGTAGGGATATGAAACATTGGAAGGAAATTAGATATTATGCCCCCAAGACAACTGCAGCCAGCAGCACATTCATTATTGGCTGGATATTTATTATTAAGAATTTCTCTTCATGAGTGACTGCTGTGGAATATTTCGGCCTTGCTCCAGCTACCAAAATGATGTGTGTGTGAGTGTGTGTACAGTATCTGTGTCTGCATGAATGTTTGCTACCATGTTGTCATGGTCCTGACAAGCCAAAGACAAGAAGATTTGGCTTTTTCGTGTTTTTGTACCGCATGTACAGCCCACTCAGACCACACATTCACACACTGCTATGAAAGCTCCTCAGGTGAAACTGAAAAATACATGCAGTGAATTTGTAAAAAAAAAAAAAAAAAGGTTGGATCGTGGTTATACAATGCATATTCACACCCTCCAGCGCCGTATTTTAAACTGACAGGACCACATTCACAGAAACAGTGCAGTAGAAAAACACTCGACAGCTGTTAAAAACTAAAACTCCTTGCCAGGACTTCCACTGCCACCCTGCACCAGTTTTAATCACAGCCCAGTGAATTTTAAACAGCAGTATGGAGAAGGGCCGCTGTCCAAGCCTCCAGAATTTTTATTTCATTTTTTCCCTCCCACCTCTCCGCTCTAATCCACTTCAATTATGTTTCCTCCCATTTCTCCCGATCACTTTACAGCTCAGCAGCACCTGTGCTAATTGTAGTGGCGATGATCGCTGATATGTTTTGCATTCTTAAAGGAGTTTGAGAGGGGGACGACAGATAAACATCTAGCCCCGGGCCTTTTGGAAAGCGCGGCTCAGCCTAGCAGATGGCCATCATATTATACGAGGAGAGCTTCTTGCTGAAGCTGGTGTTCTGGCGGGTGGGTGGGGTGTAATGAGCATGAGGTAGGAGGAAGAGAGGGAGATGGAGGGGAAAGGAAGGTAGGAAATGATAAGATAGGGTATGAAGGAGGAAAATCAGAGTTGGGCTCACTTTTCGTACAACATTCCCAATATTTACAAAAATAATTAAGTTTGAATTTTTTGCTAAACCTTGGATCAGAAATTTGAAAAACACTTTCATACTCTGATGCTTAACCAGTTAGCTTGCGCAACCACACATATACCAAAGTGAAAGTACATCTAGATCTATTACATCCTCTGTGTTTGTTTATTTGTGTGCCTCCTGTTAGCCAAGGACGACAGGTAGACCTTTTGTGCGTGTGTGTGTGTAAAGGAGCACATGTGTGTACATGGCTTTATGAGAGCGGCTGTGTATCGCTCACCTAGCCGCCTTGCTGCCCCCGCTGAACCGATTGCACCCGTAATGAATGGGCTGCCAGCGCTGCCTGCTGTGGCCGTCCGAGGTCGGACCACATATTATATCGCAACCTATCTGAAGTGGACCGCATATTATATAGCAGCCTATTTGCTGGGATGATGAGCTCTGGACACCTCCCATTATTTATTAGGAAGGGCTGCAGCCATGTGAGAGCAGAGGTTGACTGGCCTAGGTTACCAGGGGTGTAATGTGTGCGGGATGAGTGGGTGATAAAAAAGCAGGTGGGGATTTTTTTTTTTTGTAGCCTAACTCTCCATTAAAACTTAACAAGATTTATGAAGATCTACGGAGCCGAGGAGGTGACATTACCTTTTTTTTTCTTTATTAATTCGCAAGTGCCATTCAGTATCTCCAATGTGCATTTTAGTATATCACGGGTGCGATTCAACTGTTCGTTAACAAACAAAATCACTTCCTGCAAGTCCGAATACCGCCAATGGCAAAATCGCTGTGCTTTAAGGATCCTGATGACGTGTCTCCAACTCAAAAAAATACCAAATGTGGCTAAGCTATGAAGTATCTCTTTGTGAGTCATACCTAAATGAAAGAAAAAGTTGATAATATGCTCTTTGTCCATGGCACTTTCCTTTTTCCCCACAAATAAGGTGTGTGGAAGATATACAATATACAAATAAAATGCAAGTACCAGTTAAGTACAAAATGCATGTTCGAGATACAAAATCGCATGTGCGTTATACTAAAACACACGTGCGAGATACTTAATCGCACCAGCAATATAATAAAATGCACGTAGAAATACCAAATAGCACCTTCTATATAACAAATCACACATGCGAGATACTCAATCGCACCTGCAATATAATAAAACAAGAAAAAAAGAGAAACTGTTATGTCATCTCCCGGTCTCCATAAAGATCTTGATAGAAAAGAAGGAAACACCTTCAAATTTCATCACTTTATCATAATCACTGCTCAGGACAAAACTTAGAGTCACTTATGATGAAAAATTAAAGAAAAATGTTTGTCTTAAACGATAAAAACAGCCGACTTCAGTGGATTGCAAATTCCTGCGCGGCTTTGAAAAATGGTCCAAATCCTCATCCTCCTAACAGGGGTCAGCCTGCTTTGTTAGGTGTGTTCTCTTGGTGCTAAAAGACAAATGATGTACTTTGCCTTGGGTCAACTGGGCTTTCCCATCCCATAATGACCTTTCAGGGAGCTGGAAGAGAGCAGCTGTTCCCATAGCGATGAAGCAGCACTGTACGCCACACATCAAAGGTGTATATAATGGCCACCTATATGTTTTAGTGCTGCAACGTGACCTCTTCACCTCTAATGGACCGTTTTCCAGTTCATCAATCATATAAAGCAAAGAACATTAAGGAGGTGCTGTATTTCCAAATGAAACACTCTTGAAAAAAAAAAGGTTCCTATGTGAATCTGCAGCCAAGCAATTATGCATCCAAAGTTGTTTTCTGTTTTGAATTTGGTTACATGCTCCCAATATGTTCAGCATTTGCCACTTTGCTTTGGAAGAAAACCTTCACAGCTCTAAGTGTGTGTGTATGTGTGTGTCTGTGTGTACTGCCAAAGGTTCCCTGGAGGAGAGAGGATCTCTGTCAGTTTGTCATCAGACACAAGCTGCCAAATTTTATGAAATACCAAATTACTAATTGGCCCAGCGTTAGGTTTCCCGCCTGGAAGTGAGACTGTAATATCTGGGCTTCTATTAGGATCACAGAGAGAGACACACTCAGCTGCCTCCTGCTGAGCTGGCAAGTCGCTGTCATTTCACACCATGCGATGACAGTCGCACACTTATACACACACACACATGGGTGGTGTGATCATCAAGGACAAAAGACTGCAAACAGTTACAAATCATTTCAAGCTCACTCAAGTATTTCCTTGATTGGATCATTTGGGGTTTCAACCAACTAAGAGGCAATAATCCAATTTTCTAAACAGCGCGTGTAAATTGATGTTATGTGACTGTGATTTGACCGATTTAAGGATACTCCTTTTTACCTTTACACCTCCGCTGAGAGGTCAAAATGCATGGTCAGCAGACAAGTCCTGCGTTCCTGCTTCAGGGCACCAGATAGGGGGCATCCCGGGTCTACAGTTGAAGGACAATGTCTCTAATTACATAGCAACCCTACAGCTTAGAAGTCGTTTATCTAACGACAATATTTTAGTCTTATAGGCTGTGGTCCTCGCCGCAGCAGTCGCCAGTTCAACCCCTGGCCAAGACCCTCTCCTGCACATCATCCTCAGCTCTCTGCTCCCTACATTCCTTGTCTCTCTTCAGCTCTTTTATCTGATGGAGCCCAAAATAACTCAAAAATATCTATTATGCAAAGCTGCAAATGTGACATATGTAGAGTAGGAAAGTGGATTAGGGCCACATGAAAAAAAAAAAAATACAGGAACGAGATAAAAGTTGAAATTTCGAGATTAAAGTCGAAATTTTGAAATTAAAACCTCAAAATTATGTCAATATAGTTGAAATTTCTAGATTAAAATTTGAAATTTCGAGATTAAAGTCGAAATTACACGGTTAAAATTGACGCAAATAAAGACGAAATTTCATGAATAAAGTCGTAATGTTGGGATTAATGATAATGATTCAACAGCATTGTCACTCGGCAACACGTCCTCTGTAGAACAGTTTATAAAGCTTGAGAATCGGATTTGGTAACAAGCATATTCTTGCTCTTTTAGTTCACAAACACAGTGTGGTCATAAGACTTCGGACTCTGAAAAGACTGTGCCGAAGATTATGATGCAGATGCAGGGTTATCGATGGTTACACCTGCATGCTTTACAGCGAGGCCATGTTGTATCGCAATATACAATAAGACAACTGATCAAGTTGAATAATCCTGAAGGCATGGAGCACAGACGAAACCGGCATATGAGGCGCAGACATTACGAAACCGAGGACCCAATACGCTCTGGCACATGGATGGCTACGATGAATTTAAACCATATGGATTTTCATTTCAAGATTTTTAAACTGTGACTTTAATCTCAAAATTTTGACTTTAATCTCGAAATGGAAATTTGAAAAAATCTCCCTCCTGTAATTATTATTTTTTCTCTTCTTTTGGCCCTAATCCTCTTTTGTAGTAGAAACGCTTAAGTTAGGATGTAGAAAGAACAAGGAAATTTGTGCAGCCTTAAAACAATCTCCATGAAGAATCGGATGTGCCATCACATCAATGTGGCTGGCATTAACATAAATGACACTCACGCATACAGAGAATGGCTCCAGATGAATAGGACGGCCTAGACACAGTGAAGTGTTGTTTATTTTTTGTGAGGCTGTGCTATCTTTTTTTTCAGGACTCCTAATCAAACATGCCCAAGGCCACCGGATGGATAAACACACACACACACGTACACACATGCACACACACTTTGGCAACATTTCAACTCTTCTCTCAGCGGTGCAAAGGGGGAGAACAAGCGTTTTGCTGACAATACACACACACACACGCACACACACACACACACACACACACACAAAATACAGCGGACTTAAAGAGAGAAAACGTCTTGGTTTGTTTTAATGTAAAAAGAATGGTACCCATCCACCCAAACACATGGTTAGCTAATTATGGCAGTTGACCCGTTAATGGACTGATGTCAATATCTTTGAATTCCCCAAAGTAATCACACGTATCCCTGTTTCCATAAATTAGGGCACAGTCAATAAAAATAACCAATAAATGATGAAACTTTCATGAAGACAATGATTACGTCAGAGTTTTGTTCCGTCTTACTGGCACATGCTGGGGTAGATACACCCCTCACTCATTTTGATTCATATTTGGGTAGGGGACGGACATTCATTAGTTAAAATGTCACTCTGTGCTCTTTTCTTCAAACTGTTTAGATTTTCTTTTTCTCCCCAACCGACCAAGGGGTTTAAGTGTCACTTCCAGTGCAAAACTGTGCGATTTGGTTAGCTAAGGCGCTGGCTTCCCTTTAGAGAGTCTTAAAGGTCCTCAGTGTCATCCTCAAAGTTGGGAATGTTTCTTAGCGTTCTGCGGCTCTGCTCTCAGAGAGCCCACTGAGTCAATCAGAGTTACACGTCCTTCAGTTTGGAGCAGAATTAGAGTATTTTCAGTCGAGCTGTACACCCGTCGTGTACTGGAAACTGGATAAAACACCTGTCACTGTCGCTGTTTTTGAGGCTGATTGGTGTTTCAACCCTGTTCAGCCATCCTTCACTTGTTGTTGGTGTTCAGGCTCGTAGCTCAGGCACAGGCTCCTGCTTATCCTCCGGGACAGCTGGGCCTAACGCTACAGCTGAACAGATGTACAATCTGCCAGCTCAGGTCTTCAGCTATGCCTGTGGTTGCCCGCTTTTACACGTTCTGTGAAAGAAACCGGACTTTCTTTCCCGTCAGCAGCAGGCTCCTGAGGTCCTTGATAGAGGGGAGCTTCATTTTGTCTCGGTTTTTACTGTAAACATTTAAGAAGATGCCGAAGAGCACCAGAAGGCCGCCCCAGATGTACCTGAGGAGAGAGATTTAAAGTTGAGATATTTTAAAAGGGGTTCAAAAATAAAGATTGTGCAAACAGTTGTGGTAATTCATTTATAGAAAATCAAATAGGCGAGAAAGGTTTGATCAAATTCGCCATGCTTCTACAGGCAGCATTCAAAACATGTGCCTGTAATGTCAGTAAAGTGGATGACTACGTGCAAATAAACCCCTATAAGTGTGAAGAAAAAGTAAGAAAGAAATTATGATTGTTACATAAAACAAAAGACACTCAAAATAGACAAACTACTGCAAAACAACAACACAAAATAACTTAACAAAACCACTTCTTCCATGTAGGCCACAACAGACAAGCTCACTTTTGAGATTCTTTGTGTTTTAAACCCAAAAGTACGATTGTTAACAAGGTTCTTACCCAGGTATGGAAATGTATGGAAGTAATTTGATCAATTTCCAGGTCTTAAAAAGTATGGTGAATGAAAAATAAAGTATGGAAAAATATTTAGGTTTCCAAATTATTACCATCGTAAAAAAAATAGGTATTTACATAAATTGTTTTTAGAAAGTAAGGTCTGGAAAAGTATGGAAATTCAAACTGTGTAGAGACCCTGTGTTAAAATATGCAGATTGAGCTTTATAAACAGCTTGTTTCACCAAATATATATCTGCTTTAGTTACTTTTAGTGATAAACTGGACAAGGACAAATATGAGGAGGAGAGGGATATCAACCTAAAACTTAAATTGGAGCCAGAAGAGCTGCTGAAATGGTGGATGGCACCAGCTGGAGGGAGAATAAGTTGGCTATGAGGATACTAAAAGTATTTTTTTTCCTCGTGTGTGTGTGTGTGCGTGTGTTCAGCAGAAAACAAGACCCCTTTGACAGCAGAGTCATCGGAGAGTGAGTAAGTGTGGAGGACTGGGGGAGAGCAGTGGAGAAGTCAAGGTCTTGAAATGGACTGAGGACATAAAAACAGGGGCCAAGGGAGCCAAATCGAGTTTTCTTTGTTAAACAAAGAGAGATCAGTGCAGTCCGGTTCGATTTTAAACTCCAGGAAAAGTGATCAAAGTCAAAAGGGGACAGCACTTACTGAAAAGTGAAAGGTTTTGCAAAGAACATGAAGGAAAGTACGATAGTCATGGCCTTTCTCCCAGTGGTTACTGCAAAGACGAGAAAGAAATGTGGATGAATTTTCAATAAAAGCTGCGACTAAATAAAACGACTAATCAGACAATTATGTACTACAGTCAGGTAATATTTAACTGATCAGAAAACACATTTAAAAAAAGGCAATTATTCTGTCAAAACTACAAAAGAACAAAGACAAACTGTGGCTCTGACCTGTAACTGCAACCAGGGCACCAAAGAGCTTGATCAAGGCCAGCACGAAGGAGATGCCGAAATAACCCGTAAGAGAGAAGAAGAAAGCATAACCGTAGGTCTTCACTGGATGCTGGAAGAAAGCGAAGAACAAAATCTGCTGTTAAGTTGGATGAAAACAATGATGCATGAAAACAACTTCTAAGAATATACTGTAAAAGCACAGATTAACACCATCTAATCATTTACACATATAAACAGCCTGAACATAAAAGCAGCAGGTCGTCTCTTTAACAAGATATACATCAACACAGAACACAGATTCATTGATCCTCAGATGTTGATATTGGAGACTTGTTACCTTTTTTAAATTTGTACTAAAAATATGGTACACACATGTAAATGAACAGCCCCTGTGATAACACCAGTATAAGTATGCCTAGCCCAAGGTTCACACTTTAAAGAATGGAAGGTACACAGGAATGGTCATTTTGACAAGCTTTACTGGTTACAGATCTGGGATACAGCTTCATCAAGTGTAACAAAGACTGGTCTGAGACTGTTCAGGTATATACAGCTGTCCATGTTTCCAAACATTCTGCTCACATCTTGTTGACCTGAAGGAGAGTCCATGTAGGTTAATAACAAAGCACAACATATTTTGGGAGCCTGAGTGATGTTAAACATGTGTACAAGGTCCTTGTTTAGGATGGTTGTTTAAGGCCCATAGCTCCAGAAATCTAGCACCAAAGTATCCATTGTATTTGGTTTACACAGTTCCACCATCCTAAAGGATAAAATGACTGGCTAAAGAAATTCATCCAGATTCATCCTAAGTTTCACTCACCTCTGAGCAGAAGGCCACAGCGGGCCCCAACCCTCCCGCACAGAGCAGGCCTGTCAGTATATAGACAAAACCAATGGAGTAGGAGTACAGCACCTGTCAAGAAAAGCCCAGTCAGTGACATCACACCCTGATGGGTTATTACTAATGAATACATTTAAGCTGTAAATACTTCATGATCCCCTCATATACTGGGATACCATTTCAGAGTTGGAGCCGTTATGGAGTTTCATGGCTTTCTCCTGCACGTTTCCTATAGCCGCATCTGCGCACAGCGCCAGGGAGATGAGGAGAACACCTGCAAAACAAAGACATGAGAAAATAAGCAAGTTATTACACCAAAAGGCTTATACATATACAATGCCTCAAAACTGTGTCCTATAAGTCACTTTTACCCATCAAAGATTTCCTATGAAAGCACTCGAGTCTGCTTTTAAAGGTTACCTGTGACGTTGAAGTTTGGAGCCACTTTGCTGTCAGCAAGCGTAAACCAGATGAGTCCCAGACTCATGCAGAGAGCAGCAGACACATCAGCCAGATTATAGCGTTTACCTGAAACAGAAATCATGAGAAGTGAACACGCTGATCACAAATCTAACAACTTAAAAAAATCACATTTTACTAAAGTTCACAAAGCAAAGTGCAGAAATAGTTTTTGAGGGTTACAGCAGCATGAAGTGCCAAATGGAAAGGGTGGGACAGCTCAAACCTACAAAAACCTCGTACACACAGATAAACTGAGACTGGGCCGTACCAAGTTAGAAAACCCTCAGCACGACTTGCAAAGGAATCTTCAAAAGATTTCCTTCTCTTTCTTAATGAAAATGACGACCTTTGACACAGGTTAAAATTTACTTGAAGTTTTTTCTATAGATTTTCTTGAAAATCAGAAGTTTTTGGAGGTTGCACATGCAACAAAGCACTGGGAAAAAAAGGTTTGCAAAAAACAAAAGTTTGGAGGAAAACAACAGGATGAAGGAGTCTTCCAAAAGCAGGCTGACGGATAGATGCCTAGAGGATGACAGGGGGACGGAGCATCAGGTTGGCTGTGGTCGGCTTTGATTCCCTGACTCGCCTTTGAAGGGTCTCAAATCAGATGCAACCCCACACCCCTCCCTTCATCTGTCCGTCCCACTCTCTCACTTTCTTCCCTCTTTGCATTCTAAGTGAATAAGTTCTGTTTTCCACATGACCCCTTCAGGGACCGTGGTCCTCACATCTACCTTTCCAGAAGGGGAGAGGGATGTAGAAGGCAAAACGCTGAAAAGAAAAAAAAACCTGTCTGACGCTGAGGACACAGAACCTTGAAAAGGCTGGCGTAAGGATGAAAGGACAGACGAAACCAAGCAGGGAGAGACGAGTATAGCAGAGTGTGATCTGACAGCTGAAAACAACAGGCGTAGATAAGGAGGCACTGAAAAGTGGTCATGGCTTCAAAGGAAAGAAAATGTGAAAGTATTGGCATTGAGTGTAACTGGTCAGAGGATTACAAAGGTACTATTAACTACTTATGAGTGGAAACTGACATATACTCAATCAAACAAGTGCAGGATCTTACCAAGACACAAACATGTTAAAGGGATAGTTCGGGTTTCTTTGAGGTGGGGTTGTATAAGGAGCTTGTCAGTGGTTGGAGATGTTGGTCTGTCCTTCCTATTTGTTGAAAAACCAGCTGGAAAACTGGCACGAAAGTGAAGCTACCAACTCCTACAGACAGGATCGGCTCCGCCATCTATTTTTGCTAATTTAACACATTTTCAGAAACCCTAACACAAACATTAGTCGCACACATTTATTCAGTGTACGTTTTCATCAGGAAGCCCACATCCCTGTTCTTCCACCTGCAGTGACCTGATCAGCTGTTTGGGTCTGCAAGATAAAAATGTAACCAAACATAAATATAACAACAACGTGCTTTTTGCCGTGGACCAAAGAGGACGCCATTATGACCTGGAGGTCAGACTCAAGTGTGTAAATCGGGGTCCCCTTTTTTGTGTTTTTGTGTCGTGATACGTCAAATGTATTTTAATGGATGACAAATCAGGACCACAGGCAGATCAGTTAAGAACCCAGACTCTTCTACAGCAGAGGACAGTCATGCTGTTGTACTGTGTGCAAAATGTAGTTTTGCATCTTCTGTGTTACTCAAGATCTGTGGGAAAACGCAGCATCTGGACGTCGATGCATGTTACTCAGACACCTCTGCATCAATCAGCATTAATGGTGCTTTCTCAGAGGTGCAAACCAGCCTTACCATGGCTATAAATGCAGTATTTTTAACTACTTTTCCAAGTTTTTCACCTTAATAGAGACTTTTCAATCTATTAAATTCCATTCTATTAACATTTTACAACATATCTGAACTCTTAATTTTATTTGAACTGTATCAGAACATTTTCTCACTGAGGTACTCTCTGTTCTTGAGGAAACTCTGAATCGATTCTGACACAGAAAGAAAACAAAAGCGATAGATGCAAAATTCACAACTTGAGAGCAGCACATTTTAGCCAAACATACATGGGGATAAAAATCAGCTTACCTTGTATAAACACTCCTCCTATCATGACTGGGATTAGTTTACAGCACTTGAAGATGACTTGCGTCGGGTAGTTCAAGTAGCCCAATGAGGTATTAGACAGGCCCATGGTGCCCACTGTTAAAAAGGCGATGATCATGTAGGTCTTCCCTGGTATCCTGTCGGACAGGAAAGATGTCGAGAAACAGATTAACATGTTTAATCGCTCCAATATTTAAGAAGACCGCTTTCTTCTCGAGTTATACCAACTTAAGTAACCACTGCGAATAGCAATACTAATAGCCACATGCTTAACCAAAAAGCTACTCTATAGCCAAAAATATTGCTCAGAACAGCACCTAACTTCATCAACAGTACATATAGGGTCCTAGCCACAGCACTAGCCACCAAACATCTTTTTAACTTTGCCTGATTTCTTTAGCAGAGAGACTATACTCAATTCACGTACTCTCTTCCAGCAGCCGCTTGTTTGTAAGTGAGACCTTGGACTAGTCCATCATTGACTGCTGCGGGGTGACACAGCTCAAGGAAGAACATTTATGATCATTTCTTCATGGCAATGCAATCAGACCGAGATGCTAAAGAAGACGAACTACCGCGTCTGCAGTGCAAAATAATAAATATAATGATAATTACTTTAAGGAAATGATAAAGTAATGATCATAAATGTTCTTCCTTGAGCTGCGTCACCCCACTGTAGTATGTAATGGACAGGCCTGTGGTCTCGCTTCAAACAATTGGCTGCTGGAAGAGAGTAGGTGAGTTGTGTTTAGGCTCTTTGCTAAAGAAATCAGGCAAAGCTAAAAAGATTTTTGGTGGCTAGTGCTATGGCTGGGACCCAATATGTACTGTTGATGAAGTAAGTTGCTGTTCTGAGTATTATTTGTGGATATAGAGTGGCGTTTTGGTTGAGGTTTGTTTATGGCTCCTCAGACTGCTGTGTATTGTTATCATGCAGTCGTTACTAAAGTTGGTATAACTAGAAAAGCAAGCGGTCTGAGCTCATTATTGAAAAAAAAGAGAGAGTAATGTCAGCTACAACTCTAAGATAAAATATGAATGTGTTCAAAGTCTATAGACCAAAAGAGGACATATGAAAATATCACTAAAGATCTGATGAAGAAGTAAATATGAAGAAATTAAAAAATTAGTTCAGACTGACACAGACATGCTTTAATACCATTATGGTGTACTTCACCCTGAATTAATTTTACGCTGAAATATCCCTTTAAGTGATTCAGTCCTAACAAAAGAGAAGGAGTTACCCACCTTCTGCGTTTGTCCTGTGTGAGCTGAAGCTCCACTAGACCAAATGTGGAGTAAAAACCAAACTGGACCAAAGTGAGGTACCAACCAAAAGGCTTGAAGCCTTCCACTGAAAAGATCAACTCCTGAGTGGAAAGAGAAATAAAGAATCACAAAGCAGATGATTGAATAACTTTGTAGCAGCATTTGTCTCAAAATATAAACAGACAAACAGGCAAAACAGTCAAAGTAACATAGTGTATGTGTTTGTGTGAGTCTTTCTGTTACCTGAAGGTATCCATAGACGAGGTAAAAGAGGAAGACTCCAGCCACACAGATGAGGAACTGCGTGGGAGGACTGAAGCTGCTCAGGTTGATTCCCAGGACCCTCAGCTCCTCCACAGACTTGATGTGGGGTGACATGACCTCGGTGGACGAGGGGATTGAGATTGAGATGTGCTTCCGTGAACTGTTGTAGCCCACCAGGCCATATTTGTTACTCATCGTGTCTGTGGCTGCTGGCAGCTGTGGAAACAGAAACAAATCTGTGTTTGATGTTCACAGGACATGTTGGGAGGCGTGTGGACGTTAACAGGTAAGATAGCCGGTAGCTAACGACATAATTAAGTTAGCGTTAATAGTTCGTTCAAATTACAGAGTCGAGGATGACTGGATATCATTCTGATAAGCGTTATTTTAAAACAACTTCTTAAACTTGTGACCAATTTAACATCTGACTTTGATTTCTCTGCAAAACAAACACGCTACAGTAGCAAGCTCATTACCTCCAACAACACTTCCGGGTTTCTTTGCGTCAGCTTATCCTCTCCTTCAGAGGCGACGCCGTTCACACTCATCTCCCCGGACGTGGCTGCGCTCTTTACCGCACATTTCCATCATTTTCGTCGTCTTCCTTCACGATGACAAGCGGCGAAAACGCGTTAAAAAGCACGAGTTAGCATGCTAAAGGCTGCTTGCGCTTTCTGCAGCTGCAGTGGACAGAAGCAGCCAACAACTTCCGGTCCACGTCAACCTCTGAACTGTGACGCTATTGGTGGACGTAGCCTCACGGTGCAGCAGGTGAAACAGTGCGTGTTTGTAGTTTCATGTTTGTAGTCTACAACACTGAGAAGTTTGTGAACCACAGTAGACTGTCAGCAGGGATTAGGACGCCCAGGAAAAAGAAGTGCATGAATATGATGTGAAGTGCATGTTGAGTCACAGTCTTAGTTTTCCTCCTAGTATGGACTTTATCTAACTATCCAGCACCACTTGTGTGACCTGCTTGGCTGCATAGCTTTGACTGTAAGTATTTGGCTTCTTCTTTATACGAATGTGTTGTGTATACTCATCTTAAAGGAATATTCTGGGGTAAAATTACATTAGGGTCAAAAACACCATAACACCAAGTTAGACACCCCCTTGAGAGATGAATGTTGCCGACCACTTGCTTCTCTAGTTATACCAACTTTAGAAACGACTGCTGGATAGCAATGCACAGCGGTCTGAGGAGCCATAAACAAACCTCAACCAAAAAGCCACTCTATAGTCACAAATAATGCTCAGAACAGCACCTAACTTTAAAACCTAACACCAGAAAGCCTTTACTTTTAGAAAGTAACTGTGTGTCATTTTGAGACTTGTGAATTAGGCTACTCCTAAAGTTTTGGTGAACTTTTTCAGTTTTGGATGTTTGAATTTTCTCCAATAGGCTGCAACTTGAGTCAAAAGAGAAAATGTTTAAACAAAAACAACACAGTTAAATGCGCAGTAAACAGGAGATTTAAATTGGCTGTGGAAGTACAGAAATACAATCTGGTGCCTTTGTAAGACCTCCAAGAAGTAAGCTACCAATGCTTGGAAAGTTTTCTACCTCTCTGATAACTTTGATGCCTGGAGGAGCTGCCACAGAGTGGCATGGTTAGAATGATAAACAGCATGAGAAAGGCAAAAAGCCTTTGTTTAGGTTTTTGACAGAAACTTTGCTTGTAGAAAGGGTGGTTCAATATCAATCAATCAATCAATTAATCTTCATGTAAAATATAATAGTATAATTTTTGATAGAATTATAATCTGTAATCTGAAATGTGCCACGAGTATGTTTAAAAAAAAACTGAACTTTTGCATTGGATTTCAGACTGTATGACTGTGTTCTTGCAGAGCTAACAGGCTGAAGATTTTTCCCACAATTCAGTTGCCCATTTGATTGTCTGGTGCGATCCTGTGATGGAAAAGTAGTGGAAAACACCTCACAGCTACTTATGGAGGCTATCCCAGTAAAGTTATACTGTAAAACATTTTATGAACATAATTTTCCAATTTATCAGTTTGAAATTAGATACAGTCAGATTAGTTAGTTAATGAGTCAAATTGGCCATGGGTGGAATCTGTGATTTTATATATCCATACAGAAATATGCGTCCATACATTGGAGACAAGAGGCGTCTTCCATTTATTGGATGTACATAAATGGAAATGAGGTATCAGGGTTTGCACTAAACCTGCAGTTTGAAATGGGCTCTAGATCTGCACTATATAGTATTACTATTTACATAAATCTATCATGAGCAACACTGGCAACTTACAGCGATAAGGATAACTCATATTGAACAGGCAGAAACCTCGAACAAAACCAGACTTGAGTTAAACAGCCTTCTGCTGGGACTATATTTGATAAAGATCGAGGTAGAGACGGACGGTCAATAAAACACACACTAACAAATGCATGAAGTCAATTCACAGCATTTATCACTGATACAGATTAGACATGAATCTCCAGTGGAATGAAAATGTTCTTTTGGATACACTCAGTGAAGCAGCTCCATCCCTCTCCCAAACTCCTCCATCTACTCCTTTCATCTCATTACTCTATTTCCCTCCTCTTCTGTCTTTCCTGTCCACCCCTCATGGACCTCCTCCCCCCTTGCAGTCATGACTATATCTGCTTTTCAAACCCCTATACATCTCTTTCAGCTTTTGTCTGTAAATCCTTATTGCATTATTCCCTGCTCTCCCTTCTTCTGTTCTGACTCTGTCTCTCGGCCATCTCATATCCCTGTCTCTCCCTGTTTGGATTCTGCAGCATAAGGCATGAAACTCTCCTCTGCCCCCTTCATTCCTCTCCTCCCTCTTCAAGCCTTCCCTTTCCCTGGCTGTCCAATCTCAAATCCCTCTTGCCGCCTGCCTTTCGTCTCTCTCCCTCTCTCTCTCCCTGTCCTCTTTCCCCAGCCAGAGGTTAATACACTCCAGGATGGCATTATTTCCTCCCCGGCCCTCTGACAATATAAAAATTCAGAATGGACAGCTCAATCCCTCTTCCATCTCAGATTTGATTGTAATGGTATTGCCTCCTGTCCCTGGGAGGCCCCTGCCGCCTCGCCACCTCGGCCTTTATGACACTAAATGGCCAGGCTACAATTTTTCCATCTATTCAAAAAATTCTGTTAATAACTCATTTGGAATGAGACGTCTGCGGCCAGGTCTCTCACCCCTCTGCTTATAGGGGTCACAATATACAGAGAAAGATGCAGGGCTGAATCGCAAATGTAAAAGGCTAATTAATCTCCCTGAATTTACAATCCCTTTTCCCCCCATTCCCTTTGCACTCCAATTGACAGTCCCAAAGAGACAAAAATGTCATATTTACAACCTGGCATGGAGAAAGTGCTCAGCAATGCACAGCAGTGTGAGCGCGAGCCGGTCTGACCACTTTCTCTGCTCCACCGTCCAACTTTACAAGTGTACCCATTCATCACGGCTGATGGATTTATGTAATAAAACCCATTTCCTTCTCCCATACGATCCTATTAAATAATAAAATAATTATTTATTGATTATTCAAAAAGGTACATATGCGCGGGTAATGGCTTTGTATCACACCACTGGACCCGCAATAAATAAAGAAGGCAGAGGGAAGGCTGGAGCGCGACAGAGAGGAATAAAGCAGGGAGAGGGAGAGGGTGGGAGAGAGAAGAGGGGAGAAATGAAGGGGAATGAAATGACTTTTGAACCAGTGAAATCTGGATCCAATATGGCCTCTTGCAGAGCGGATCAGGAAGGACATTATTCAATCTTCAGGAGGCTCATATGGGAGCGCGACCTATGAATGGTTTTGATATACTATATGGACCGTAGAAATTAAAATAGACAACTGAATGAGTGCTTAAGTGGAGCTTTTAGTCTAATCTTTTCAAATGTGCTGAGCTAGAAATAGACAACAATATCTATTTTTGACAGAGTAGTTTTTATGTCTGTTAGATAGGGTCAAAATCTGCTGTTGAGTTTGGAGAGTCAGCCAAGAAAATACCTCTTAAACATTATCGCATAATATGACTTATTAAAAGATTTTTGCCCGCTATTCCCTCCTTACTTTACCCCACTCAGGAAAGACCATTAATACTGAATTTAAACATTTACAGAGATTGAAAGTGTTTGTGTTGGAGCTTTTTGTAGAGCAAGGCTTTTGGGTGTTTAGCAAACTGACCAGGAAGGTAAAAGTGATCGCTGTTTTTCTTTTTAACTGTTTTTCTAAAAGACACAGCTCCACACATATGTAAACACCCACTCCCTTTTAGTAATCCTTCATATTATTTATTCAACTTCAGTATCGGAAGACGCCCCCTATCCCCAGCAGTGAATCATTATAAAAGAAGACACTTTAATGTCAGCCAGATATTACATTGGGGGCTTCTTAATAAGCCATTTGTGTTTGGACTATCCTGGGCTAAAGTGCACCCGCTCTCCGTTGTCTTTTTCCTGGGCTTGTCTCAAGCCTCCTGCATGCTACGAAAAACAGATGCTATCTCAGCTATATTACTTCTCAAAGCGCTCATATCCTCTCCCATGTTATTTTCTTTGATCTGCTAGGCTCTCTGCTCTTACATTTTTCTTTCCCCCCTCGTCTCACGCCCTCCTCCTCCTCCTCCACCTCCACCCCAATCCCTCCACCCCCATCCTCCATGCTTCATCCTCTATCCTCTTTGCCAGTGACCAGAGACACAGCAGCCAGACTGGCTTGGGTTGGCTGTGGACGTTTGAAATTCACTTCATCTGTTCCCTGTCATCAGAGGGCACAGGGTGCACGGTGGGTTGGACTTTTTAGATTCTCCATTTAATATGCCTTGACCATCAGAGGAGGCTTCAGAGGAGGGCTCATATCAGGGCCGGGGTCATTTCACATCCAGTGAACAGGCCGTTTAAATCAGCGACTTAAGCTGCAGCCTTCATACTAAACACTTTTTTACTTATTGACAGCAGTTCTTGCATAAGCTCTTAATTATAAGTGAGTCAATCCTGGGCTATGTGCTTTATTTAAACAATGAAAAAAGTTTATTTACATCAGTTAATCAAATTAAAGCATTTGTTTTTAGAACTCTGGTGGTTTCAGGAGTTTTTGTGAAATACTAGGGCTTTTAATTGTTTTTTTTTTTCACATTTCTGATTAATTACAGAACTAAAGTAGTTTATGTCGATTATTTGCATTTTTAAAACTGCATTGTCATGCGTTTAAATAGAGTTTCTAAACTGCACACCATTTAAAAATAAAGTTTTTAATCTGACACATGCAATAGGATGTATTTAGTGATTTTGACTTACAGATTTAATATTTAAAAATGTAAAATTAGTGTTAATGTGATTTGCAGTTTAACTCTGTTAATAATAATATAACTGTCATTACTCTGAGTATTAATTATAGCATTTGCACTCTTTTTGGAGTGTAACTGTATTTACTCTCTTTGTTTCTTTTATCCCCATGTCTGTGGTGACTCACGCTCTCATATAAAATGCTCTTTTGTGATATCAGTTAGCATGGTTGCACCTGTATGCTTAGCTCCTATTGGCAGGGGGCTCAGACTGGGAGCTTTAAGTCAATTGTTGTGATAGTTAAATTCCATATAACTCAAAGGACTTCAGACTCTACTGAGCTGGTTCTTTTAAGTGAAATGGGTCATTCAAAAGCACAGTGGTGTTGTGCAGCAGAAAGATGTTTTGGTGGCCGAATAAAGTGAATAAAAATATCAACATACTAAGTAATTGCATCATGATCAACTAGTATGTTAATGCTGACAGCCCTAAAGATATAAAAATCTAATGGCTCCATAGAGTTAGTTAGCTTAAGTCAAATGATGGTCAATTACATTTTTAAAACTGTTTTCTTGTTTGTTTGAAATTCTAAAGTAATAAACAATCAGAAACACAACACAGCAGCCTTTTAATGCCTTTACCCTCAATCACCCCATCTCCCTCTATGCTTATCTGTAAGGTTAAAAAAAGTATTTAACTCAGAAGTGTCTCTGACTGCATGAGAACTCAGTTTATTGAATCATTTTTAAGAAAGTTCAGATAATGGAGCTTAAAGTTGATTAAATGTGCATCACAGCTTTCCCTTTCTATCAAACTTTAACAAGTAAATACTTTTTTCCTGCAAGTTTACAGTGCAAGGCATGAAACTCAAATTGTCTGTCTGCTCTTTCCTTTTTTTGTGGCAGCATAATGGAAACATGTCTTAACATTTTTCAGACATGAACAACAAATACTGTACCCTAAGTGATGAATCATAGTTTAATATATGCCTCATAACTGTCAAAAAGCCTGGCATCATAAAAGAAAGACACACTTGTATTTTTTTGTGATAGATTACAAGTGTTCAGATTTTTGCAGACACTGAGCATGAGCAAAAACTGAACAAAGTTTCATAAGAAAGACATTTCTTGTATGTGGAAAAATCTAATTTTGCAGTTTTTACTGCATATTTGACACACCACAGTCTTGGCCTGTATTTGGTTCACTTTCCATTAGAGTTAGAAGTGTCATAGAGTACATTAGTACATATATGTCAAAATAGGAATCACTGCAGTGTCAAAAACAGTTCAAACTCTGCAGTGAAATTGACTCTTTCCTCGAGGTTGTAAAGCTTTTGCAGATTAATTCCCAAACTCTCTCAGTTGTGTTAAACTGATTTTCCTGCACAAAGCCATTTAAAGCAACATCTGTGTGGATAGGTGGCACTTAGAAACCGGGGAGTCTTTAGCTTTCTTATGAGCAGCCAGGAGGGGGAAGCATCCCTCTTTGCAAGTGTGCTCACAAGAGAAGGAAAGAAAAGTAATTAAACAAACAATTTACAAGGAATCGTGTGTCTGCGTATCCAATCCAGCGTACTCGCTTTTGCTCTAATACATAAAGACAGAAATGAAAAAAAAAAAGATTGTTTGTTGTCTCCTCAGAGTGATGGTAAATGACACGTGTGTTTCATTGCCCATTCATTTAACCTTCAGTGTGCCTATGAAGAGAAAGGGATTGAGAAACAAATTATGTGGTGTCATTTAATTAGGAGTTTTGCTGTGAGCAATAATCCTGTAATTTTTTTTCCTTATAACCTTTAACTACTTAATGGATTTGAGAAGCTATTACCTTTCAAGATTTCTGTTTTTAATTATTTGGAGTATTGTTAGAGATATGAAATGTCAATCATTCACCAGGATTAATGCTGAGGTTTAATATTATTTACTTCGGGATTGAAGCGAGAGGTTGACAGGATTAGGGAAATCACTAATTTTAAGTATTTTACAAACAAAAAGAAAAAAAAATCCTCTTTTTGGCTTATTTAGCTGAAAATCATTTATCCTTATGTGCACATTTATATTTAACACAACCTCATCTTAAATCCATGAGAGCCAGTTATTTACATAGATATTAACATTAAATTTATATTTATGGCAAGACACAGTAAATCTCAGAGTAATATTGGAAAAATGGCTTCCTGAATCTGTGATTAAATTATAATAATGACTCATTTTTAATATGTACAAACTCAATTTATAGTTTCCTCCTTTGGCGCTTATACTGTAGGTGTGCAGCATAAAAAAAATATATAACCCGGGAGCTGTTCATGTGTGTGTGTGTGTGTTGCACAGTCGAGGGCTTACCTCTCACCCTGATCACGTTTAGGCAACTCTGTGAAAGTGGCAGACAGAGTTTGTTTGGTTTCCCCTGGAGGACATCGCAGCTCTCTGCCAGCAGACCAACCCACGTGCGGTGACATCAGGCCCGCCTGTGTGGATACAAATGTCTCCTTAAATACATGATCCATGTGAGGTGCGCTTGATTTATTTTGCCAGACACTCACAGGACCATGAGGGCCATGCGTGCTCATTTTAAATCAGTGCTTCTCACACAGGACCCTCCTGCGTACCTGGGTTCAAATGATATATTTCATATTCTGAAGTGGATCAAAAAACATTCATCAGAAACACCTGATGTAGCTTGTCTAGAGGGGGATAGTTTCACCAGAGGATCAGCAAATGTCTTGGAGGATAAATGAAGCACACCCTGAGCAGTTCAAATATTCAAAACCTTATTCAAATAGATGTTTTCACCCGGGTTTGACACGGCTCTTAGGCTGGCACATTGGCTCCTCAGACCCCCCATGGCACGGGGCATGTAATCATCCTGAAAGTCTCTTTGGGTGTCTGCACCCTCATAAAGCAGGAAAATGGATCGTGTGGCCCAGGAAGGGAAAATGAAAGAAAAGGAGAATGAAATTACAGACCTGGCTGACTGCACAAATCATGCATATCATGTTTTATGGCTTGCCAGAAGAATTCAACACCTGTGGATCACCGTAGCTATAATTGTACACGAGTACACCGGGCTGGGAGTGGGGGCAGAGTTTGTGGTTTGTGTGTCACTGAATATGTGAGTGAGAGTGTGTGAGCCTCGTAGGTGTCTGTGGATATGCGAGTATGTTTTTCTTGGCATGGCCGAGCTTTAGAAACAGAGGGGAGATGATAAAAGAAAGTTACGGGAACGCCTGTTGTTCACTTCTCCGGTACATCCTGGGTGAGCCACCCGCAGCCCACAGGGCGCGCTCGCAGAGGCTTCATTTACCATTGTAATTACCCTGTTTATTTACCCTACCTGCTTTTGGTGGTAAAACGGGGGCCAATTCATCAGATTAGGACAATTTGGCCTTGCTTTGGCTTTGCCATTTACTTTAATTAAATGAGGCAATCAGTGAAACATAAATCAAGATCTGTGTGACCACTGGCTTTGTTTGAACCTGGACCTCTTTTACAAAGCTGACACACCCTCTGTTCAAACTTACATTAGATACAGCTGCTCTGCAGCTCCTCAGTATGCAGATTTACCTTTAAAAAAAGTGCATTTGGGATTTTTTTCATGCAAACATACTTTTTTAAAAATCCTGTGCATGTATCGTTGAACTTATTTCAGCTGTAAGTATTTTTTTGACGCTTTAAAGGTAAAGTCACGTGCATGAACGAAGGCTAAAAACTAAACGGGATGACAGCACAGCAGATCAAAAACTCTCCCCTCCCTCCTCTTCTCTCCTTTTTCTCCCTCCTCTCCACTGTGGATGCTGATGCTTGAGTCAAATTGATTACACCACTCCATCTGCATCACGACCGGCCTCCTCCTGTGTTTGCCGCCTCTGCCTACAGCACAGAGTTAGTGTACAATTACATATAGTTTAATATATCTGCCTGAGCACCTTTAAATAAGCATCACAAGTCCACAAGGTGATTTGTCTTCCAGCCCCATTACTCCATTGTACATCTTGATAGCCAGGGATCGCTCCTAGCTATGTTTAAGCATTAAATAGTGTATTATTATTTCACATAAATCACGCTGAGATGTGAGGGGGGTATTCATAAATTTTGCATTTCTCACAGACAGTATTTTAAAGCCTCTCTCCCTCTCTCTCTGCAGCTCTGAATTTGGAGACTAAAGCAATTCTGCTCCCTGCGCTTGATAGTACATTAAAGAAGGCATATCAGGGAGGTATATTCAAAACAACATGTAATGCAGTTTAGATTAAGTTTGAGGCGCTCTAACACATTCATCATGCACACTTTCCATAATAAGTACCCCTGTCTTTCTCGCTGATGCATCCACACACATGCACCATTACCACCAAGAGTACTGTATTGTTATTGTCATGAATAATGGGGGGAAATACTAATAAAAGTCCATTTATCACAATATTTTCACTGCTAACTACAGCTACTGGATCTCGTATCTGTGCTACACGATGCTCGGGGAAAATTCAATTTTAAGGTGAATGTCTGCCATCAGTAAGAGTGGCCCTTAACCCCTTACCCCAGCTCCCCACTCCCTCCTGATATTAGTCGTGTGTTTGTGCAAAACGTCTACAGAGGAAATGACTTCACTCAGGAAACTGGATGTCAGCTTTGCGCACGAGCGGGAGAGCTGACAGTGTTTTAGTCAGGCCGACAACACGTCCTTTTCTCGGCTCGCTCTCCACGCTCATGGTAAAGCTGTAAAAAGTGACAAAGGAGGAAATTGAACTTGGAGTTGTTATGGTTACTCCAAGGACGCTTTGCAGATTTGTTTCTATTTCCCGTCTCCGGCTTTGTTTTCTGATTGGTGGAGAGGTCGTCGGGTAAAACCAGGAGGTCACCGAAACTGTAAAGTGATGTGTTTAGAGTGGAACTTTTCACTTTCTCCTGTTGCTTTTCATTCAGACTTTGCCTGATGTGTTTATGTAAACTAATAAGAGTACCTTGTGATTGTCTGCAGTCGAAAATATTACCAAAACATTACCTTGACCATCCTGTGTTTCTTCAAGTCGATGAAAATCAAACCAAAAATACATCACTTCAAACAATGCAAACGTCTGCTATGATTGACTTTAGCGATTTCATGCTCACATTGCAACCGTACACCACAATTAAACCTAATTTTCACTTTTAAAACACGCTTATCATTTCCTACACATTATAATTATATGACCCACTGGCCCGGGGGGGCTTTAGTGTTGCAGCAAAATCAGTAAAAAAAATCTTGTAAAAGTCCTCGCAAATTGGAAATTGACGAGATGCCAGGACAGTAAGTTGAGGATTGAGAGGAGGGGAGCGGAGGAGAAAGAAAAAAAAATGTCTTTGAACTAGTTTTTGCTTGCAGAAAAAAATATCGCTCCTGGGTTGATATTCTTTCTGAAGTGTTTCATGGCGATGCGAATTAAGAAGTAAAGTGCAGAGCCAAATGATTCAGTGAATAGACGGCACACACCCACAGGTATTCTGTTCACATGACATCACCCCTGTGTTAAATTGACAACTTCATATTCTTTTAACTTTTTAGGTGCGAGCAAAGAAGAATTTGAGAGATAAATCAACGATAGAGAGCGGTGTTATGGAGGACATTTGTATTATGAATGTGGATTGATTAATAGTTATTTGGTCGATTTTTTTTCCCACTCTCTCTCTGTCTCTACCTCTCCCTTTATTACTCAGAAGAATGTGTCTTCTGACCTTGACATGTGCAGGCTGGCTGCATGTTTCCCTCACCTCAGCTCATGAACTGGAAACTTTGCTCCTGTCATCCCTCTATCTCTTTCTGTCTCTGTCTTGTGATCACTCTGCCTCCTCAGCTTACACACAGAGCGCACACAGAGCAGCAATACCTGGGAGGATAAATGCTCGGTTAAATTGAATAAACATAATCCAGACATGCTCCATTCCTGCCTGTCTGTCAGGGAGAACTTACTCAGGGGTCCCTGATTCCATCAGCCGAGGAGGCGCACAAACAAACGCAAAAGATTAGATGTCAGCTGAAAGGCCGGTGTTAGAAAAAGGATTATTCACTTCTGTTGTGATAAAGAAAATTTTCATCAAACATCTGATAATCTGTGATTTTACTGAGCCGGTTTTATTGCTTCCTTTGTTATCTTGTGATGACAGATAGCTTACGTTCACACAAGTGTTTCATCTGTTTCTGTTTGCTTCTGCTCCAGAGAAAGGCAAATACAACACAGTCAGAGCTCAAAAGTGCAAGTACATCACCCAACTTCAGCCCTGCATCTTTTTTTTTTTTTTTTTGGCAGCTCTCTGCGTGTTTGGCGAATGTCTAAAAAAATTGCATAAACATACAAATTAAAGAGTAACCCCCTCCATCTTTGTTCATGCTCCCTGCGTTGCCATGTCCTCTTATGTTAAAACAAAGCATGTGCCTGTCAATCATATAACCATAGGCGCTCTGGGTGGGGCTGGATCGCGCTCTTTTGAAGTGAACCTGTCATGGGAAATCTGCATCACTGGGGCTCACTTCAATCACAAGCACAAGATTAATTGTTCGTGGTGCACCACTTCAAACACCTTTAACCATTACGCATTACGGGATGAACCTTTGCAAGGCCTTTCGTCACCTATATATACTCACACCTGCACCCACACACACGTTAAACAAGGAGGGTAAATTCCTGTCTGTCTATAAAAACACACACATGCAGACACATACATCCTTATGCTTCCTAAAACACAAAAAGTTCGCAAATATTTACATACGCAGCTGCACAGAGGTATATTTCAAGATGTATAAATTGACAATTTAATGTGCATTGACAAGTTACACCCCCTCTGCCCTCCAAATACTAACACACACATATACACACAAACACACAAGCATGCAAAGACTCCACACAGACTGCAGCAACACAACATTAAGCGGTTTTCTCTTCTCTGTTATCTCCAGCTTCCTTTTTGCCCTTTGGTTAAACATTCTCTTGGCATGCATGATCTCATTTAACTTTGATTTCCTCTTTTTCCAGGACGGCATCCTCGGTGGTTCCAATTTCCAGCCCATTCCCCAATTTTCAACCCCAATGACAGACAACACATGCTTGAATGGCTGTTCGGCTAAAGGAGGGAGTTGGTAAGTGATGATTTTAAATGCTGTTTAAGATAAAAAGGGGAGTTTAGAGCAGATAAGGGTTCGTATGAGTTAGTGAGCAGGAAGCTGGGAGATGTTGCTGCTCTGAATGTGCCAATTCAGAAGCTGCTCTCCACCGATTGTGATTTATGTCACTGAGCTTTAGGAAACACTGCTGCAGATTACAGGCAGGAGAAGTGAACGTTTGACTTCTCTGAAACAGTAATTATTCTCATACTGTACGCATTTACAAAGAGCTCGTGATTTTTTATCCATAAACAATAACAAAATAAATGTCAAGTAAGTCTTTTGCCTTCATTTATCATTCTGCATATTTATACTCTTACTTTGAAGTCGTCTCACATGACTTTTTGTACATAAACTTTTAATTAACTGTTTATATTTGTATTGTTTTCTTATAATAATATTGTTTCTTAACAGTAGGAGTTCGGTTGTTTTCTTGTTGAGTGTTTTTGAGTTTTTCTAGGTACTTTTTTCTGAACTGAAAATCTTAAAAGAATTGCTTGAATTTAAAAACTGATTAAACACCAACTAAAACTCTGATTCTGATTATTATTTTAATTATAAATAAAGTTTTTTTGTTCTTTAAACTAAACCCGTAAAATATATTTATTAAAATCACTGTTTGTAAATCAAATGAATTAAAAAAATTCCTTGTCTTGAGTGTTTTCTAAAAACTTTTTTACTCGTCCAACATGTTTAAATTTTACTTTTCTATTGGCTTTGTGAATTATTTATTTTGACCTCCTTATGCAAAAATCAGAGTAAATAAACAAGCTTTAGGTAAAAAAGTGTAAAATATAATAATTTCTTCAGGGCTGTTAATTAACATGGAAGTACTTCTGTTTTTAACTTCTATGTTAAACATGATTTTGCGTATTTAATCTCAGGTGTCACACATTTCCAAAGTTTTGTATTTCTGTAGTTCTTTCTTTAAAGTTTTTCCCTTTACAACAGCTGTGTTTTCCTCTTGTAAACATAAATAAAGTTCCTTCTTCCTCTGTTCAAGTTCCCAAAAATAAAACTTTGAATCCAGAACGATAAAATCCAACATTTGAGAATCATTAAAAATAATGTCTGTGGTGATGGCATCTGACACAAACACAATGTTGACTTAATTTGCTCCTGATTAACCCCTCGACTGTGAACACTGTGTCCAGCATGAAGGACTTTTTTGTTGTTTGGAAAAAGCCGCTCATTGTCGGGCTTTAAGTGGTTTGTGTAATCCGCTATAACTAATACCATGAAGGCAGAGGATTCTGAAAATCTGTTTTCAGCACATTTTGAGTAGGAGCGGACCTGGGAACTCTCTCTCTCTCTCTCCCCTCTCCCTCTCTCTCTCTCTATGTCTCTCCCTCTCTCGCTCCCTAACTCTGTCATGAAACAGAGCACCCCATTTCCATATCAATCGGATTAGTTCCAAGACCAGGGAAGTAGGAGTAATGTAAGTAAGCGTACAAATTTAAATATAGGACATCAAAAACATTGTTAGGCATTCATTTATTTTTGCGGCAGCCCCGGCTCTCTGTGTCTCTCTCTGTGAAGATGAGATGAAAATGCATCTCTTCAAATTGACTTTCATTTTCATGTGAAAGGTGCTGAACACCGCAGTATTTCAACATTTCATGTGCGCGCCACGGCGTCCCGCTGTTCTTGTGTGCTTAACCTCGTTTGTGGGAATGAATATGTCACATCAAGCAATACACTTGTTCTGAATGCAACATCAAAACAATTTCAGGTGGGCAGCGTTCACACAGGCGGCACAAACAGGCTGCAACACGCTGGACTCCTGGATGCTCTGATACTGATGCCAGCTGGCAGCCAAAAGTTATGCTTTGACATACAATTCAGTGCACTGCTACATATGTATCAGAGGATGTACATGGTCTGGGAGTTTGATGCAATGCATGAAAATAAAATGCAAAACTTCACAAACCCCTCAGTAACCAGTTAAGTTTTTCATTTAAATTGTTTTATATTGCAGAGTTTATGATTTAGAGTTCAAATTTAAAACTTTTTGCTAAATTTTACATATTTTCCAGAACTTGAAGGGACCACTTAAATTAGCTTTTTTTTGCATCAAGACTTTTTGAATTTGTCAGGAACTTCTATTTCAACAAAATAAATAAATTGATAATAAAATGCTAATGGTACTTGTTGTGTTAGGGTCGCTGTTGACCAGGTTAGATCAATATCTAATAATCAGATCAAAAATCAAAATCATAAGTGCACTGTCAGGCACCACACTGACAGTCAGATCCTCTTCCAATCATGTGAGATTTAGGAAATTCTCATTTTGCCATGTTTCCCTGCACAAAAAGCAACGTCAGGCATGTCCAGACATGTAAGATCAATTCAGTATAGATGTCTGTATGAGGGGTATACTGACAAAGCAAAGCCCAGGGTACCACAACAAAAATACAAGCAATATTAACCTAGAGATGAGAACCAAATTGGATGATAGAGAATTGATTTTAGTGTAATTTACAGCTGATTTAAGAACATGGGTCAAAACATTAACATTAACATGGTGGGTAGGTAGTAAAAGCTAAACAGGAGGAAGGTTAAAGACTTTTTTGTGTATTTTTTTTTTGTTACATGGGGGAAAAAAATAGCGGGTTCAAAGTAATTAGAAGGTAAAACAAACATTTAGATTTTCTGTATTCTTAAAATTAAACATCAGATTTTCTGTTCGTGTTGAAAATTCGTTCTCTTGTGCTCCGAAAGTTTATTTTGAAAAGCAGCTCCAGAGATAGTGAGGTTAGTGTGTGTTTATGTGTATGTGTGTGTAAGTCACAGAGAGATTATTCAGCAGTCTGCGACTTGCTGACTGATCTGACCAGCCTGTCCGGATAAACAGACAGATAGACGGATGCCTGTCTGCGCTTCCTCAGCCCTTTATGACTTAGCCCGTCTCACTGTAATTGAAAAACTAGCTCCACTGTGTTGTCTTGGGATTTTTCTCTCTATAATGCAGCTTCAAAACAGGAAAACCAATAGTGGGAATAGACCCCCGAATGTAATTAATTTTGTGGGGGCGGGGGGTAAAAAGGAGGGGTGGATAGGGGGGGAACTATTATTGCAGGAGGAAGAATTCTAATCAGTTGCAGATTCCTTCCTGTTTGGTTAGCGTGACCGTGGCCAATTACCAGTGAACTCTGTGTTACAGTTTCACTTCCTGTGCTACCCAGAGAACGGACTGAGGCCGGCGCTGCAGAGCTCCGGCAGGACGGAGGGAGACGCAGGAGAGAGAGAAAGAGAGAGAGAGAAAAACGACAAAGCAAGACACAAGAAGATGAGACTTAAGGAAAGTAAACAAAGCCCAGGAAGGGGGAAGAAAAAGCAGAAGAAGGGGAGGGTGAAATCTCGAGCCAGATCTAAGGTGCACAGACATAAAGGCACATACGTTCTTTATCCGGCTAATATAGAACATGACATGTGGTTTACAGAGGAAATGAAAGGATTTTGGACCTGACTTCTTGCTGGTCGAGCTGTTTTCAGGTAAAGCCTCAAACTGTGGAGCAACAGACCAAAAACTCCAGAGACAAACGCAGCAGTCCATAACTTAATTGTTGTTGTGATATTATCGAAAGACACAATTTGGCGTCGCTGTTTTCCCTTAAATTGAATTAAACCATCCAGTTAGACAGCTGAACGACAAATGCTGGGGAAAAGCTGGATTTGCATAAAGTGTGTTTTTTTTCCAGCGTGTAGATGTAACTCAATCTGCTATGGTACTTCCTGTGAAATTCTCCATGCTTATTACAGCAGATTCTGCATTTGCTAAAGGCTTTCCAAAGCGGTAGTGTACAACACAACATTATAACAACATGCTCAAATCATCTATCATGCTCTCTCTCTCTCACAGGTCTTGTTTTGGGGGGGGGGGGTGTTTTCTCATTTCTGCATAAAATAAACACCAAGAAAACACAAGAATCTGATGAGACCGTCTCCTCGCTGCAAACAGACATTAGCATTTACAATCAATTACGATTTGACCTGCCAAAATAGTTCCCTTTGGCCTGACTCTGCTCCCTAATTCTCTCCTCTCTCACTCTCTTTCTGCTCCTCCAGAGAGGTCTATTCCCACACTTTCTGCCTCTAATAAATTTTTGGCATATTACTCTACTCAATCTACCCAAGAGGTCTCCCATAATTCACTTTTGATATCATTGTTTAGTTGTAGGATTAGAGGGAGGGGTGCACACTGGGAGCAGACAGTCAGGATTGGCAGTGGGACGTTAATTCATTCTCTTTATTATGATCTGATTGGCGCCTATCAGTGCAACCGTGTTTCAGATTGAGGTAAGGTGCAGGTGCATAAAAATTACATATAATATTTAGATTTTTGGTTGTCTTAATCTTAATATATGTGTTTTTTTATCATGCAGACTGAAAGAGAGGTTAAACTGTTGACAGAGGGAATAATACTCGAGTGTCAAAGGTGTAATAAATTCCTTTTCCCTTGTAAAATTGTGGAGATCTGTTTTAAATTACCAAACACATGACATGACATATATTACCATTTTCCAGTGCAGTTGCAAACATCTCAGGGGGTGCAACACTTAAGCTCTACAAGTGGAATAAACTGCTCAGAGGATGTTCGAGGGATGATGCACACAACCGACAATATGAATGTGAATTCCCCAGGAAGCCTGTTTTGCACACCAAAACACACACATGCGCGCACACACTGAACAACATGAGAAATGGGCAAAGTGCCACACTATTCAGTGTGAAATGGAGGGTCCAAGTCGCTAAACTAATCCTGGTACCACCGGATCATCTTGTGCTGCAGCTGCCTGGAATCATCTCACAAACACAAGGTATTCCTGGAAGAATTGATTCTGTTAGATAGTGCATTGATCACACACATCGCCTGCAGACACAAGATGGCTTTACAAGCAATAAGATGGGAGACAATTATATTATTTTAGTCAAATAAGACAGAGTACAAGCAGCGAGTGCCAATAGTCGTGGCAGGAGGGAGGAGGGGGAGGCTCAGGCGGCCCCCTCTGCGGCTGCCTCCGTGTGTTTGTGCTCCATCCTCAAGTGGCACGGTAATCCACTAAACTTTCCTCCACCCGTTCCTCTCGATGCAATCAGGATGCGAAGGCTCACCAGTGATTGCGTTCATTTGTAAAAGCATCCAAGCCAAAATTGAACCCCAAGGCTGATAAACTATAAAGATGCTGATCAGATCGCGGCTAAGGAGTCCACACTGGAGGGCACAAGGTGTCAGGGCGGGAGCCAAAAGAGCAATGACTCTGTACGCCTCACTCGGAGCAAGGCAGCCGCCCCGGAATACAAACAAGAGCGGGGGAAACACATAAAAGCGACAACAAACTGCAGCTGGATTTTTCATCCGCCTGCATCGTTCAGAGAAATCCGTTCAGAAGATTAGCACTTTTTCAGATGTTTGTTTCCACCTCGTTTTTTATTGACTCTATTTCCAAAGTGGGCGCATCCATTGTTCAAGCTTTAGGAAACGCGTCGTATTTTATTGATGAGCGTTGTGTGAATTTCATAATGCATCTCAAGAAAAGTAGAAACCCAAAAGAGATACTGTGTTGGGAAGCGATATGTTTTCAACCCTTTCAGAGGAATATTAGAAGCGATTTATCAGAACGGGAGCGATACATAACTCTGCAAAGTCCATTTCACTTTATTGCTGCACGCTCTCGTCGCTACACTTTCAGAGTTACTGCAACCTTTCCCAGTGTTTCACTTATTTCTCACAGCTATTGCGTTGTCTCACGCCAAAAGAACAGTGTCATTACTTTAAACACACATATCAGCCGCTGCTAGAGCACAAAGATTGAGAAAGAGAGAGAGAGAGAGAAAGAAAGAAAGAAAGAAAGACAGGAATGGGAGGATCTGAGGATGTTTTTTCCTCTCCATCCTCGTGGCCCCAGTGCGTGAAATGTCAAAGAGCAGTCAGCGGGAGAGACTGATTCCAGGAGGCGATGTGAATGGGACGATTGAAGACCCGCTTTGATTGACAGCTCTTCCTCTCCCGCTCTGCCCTGAGGGTGATTGACAATGTGGTTCATCTCACATTTTGTGACTGAGCTAATCCAGTAAATTCCTACCAGACGCAGCACAACTCAGCAGAGACCTGCCGCTCCTTTCCCAGGTGGAGTTTTTTATTTTATCTCTCTTTTCCAAAAATAAATATGTTTTTCCATCTGCGGCGTTGAAAACAAACCGGGGAGGGGTATAATTAAGTGAAAGTACATAATTAAGCGAGTTTAGAAAAGTGCTAGTTTTCTATGAATTAAAATGTAGACTAATTACATGTGGGAATTAGCCTGCTGTTGTGCTAGTGATTATTATTGTCATAGGTTACTGTCTCAATATGCTGCCAGTTGGAAATGGGATCACCTTACTGGAACGATTGATCTCGTGCCAAGTTCAATAATTAATTGACTCAACAATCACTGACACACAACTCTTGTACATTCTCCCGTATGCCCACGAGGTGCACCGCTCATCCTCTCGACCTTGCACCTGTATTTTCATGTTTGCACGCTCCCTGAAATCACTTCCTCCGCTCTGCAGCTGCTTTTCAAACTTACCAGACAGAATTAACTCACAAGAACTTCTTCCATGTCGCTCAGACACACCTTGAGAGCTGTGACCCACATTACCGCTGCTGTCCAATCAGAACGTGGAATGAGGGAAATGTTTGACATTTCATTAATCATCATTGCTAAATGATCACGGTGAGGGTTTGCATTTAGGAGTGATTAATTGCAGAGTGAGGCTTATCAGGTTACAAATTACCTGCATAACCTTTTCAGGAGCTTAATTTTAAACTCAAATCAAAGTGTTGAAATTCAGCGGAGTCAATGAAAATGAAGAGGAGGCGATAACAAAGGTCATTTTGGTTGAAAAGGGCACTTATGATTCTGTAGGAAATCTCATCATAGTCATCTTTAACTGCAAGCTTCTGTATGTTTATACTGACAAAAAACTTGACTGGTTTGATAATCAATCCAGGACATGATATGGAGACATGATTAAAAAAAGGGGAACCAAGTTCTTATTCAGAGCTATGGAGAGAGTAAAAGGGTAGGGGTTGACTGATATCACTTTTTTAATACCGATAATGAGAGAGCAGGTCGGCCTATAACACACTGTTTTGCACAAAGGATTTTTTACTTTCTGAAATAACTAATAAATATGAAAAAAAGTAAAGATTGGAGTTAAAAATGAAAAAAATAAAACTATTAGCCTATTCCATGTAGATTAAGCTCTGATAAACATGGTTATCTTTGCTTCTGTATGTTTATAGTGACAAGAAACTTGACTCTGGTTTGATAATCGATCCAGGATATAATACGGAGATATGATAAAAAAAAAAGGGAATACCGATAATGCGAGAGCAGGTCGGCCAATAACGCATTGTTTTCCGCAAATGATTTTTGACTTTCTTATGTAACTAATAAATATGACAAAAAAGTAAAGATTGGAGTTGAAAAAGAAAAAAAAATATTGTTATACGTAGATTTTAGATGTTTTCTTTAATGAATTTATTAAAAAGAGAAATACATTTTTGTATCATGCTGTTGATCCCAGAACATGGCTGATATTTCTGTATAAAGCAAAATTAAACTTCTTTATTCAACACATTAAAACAGGATTTATATGAAACATTAGCCAGTGAGTGTTTTAGATCTGATTTGCGATCATTCAGCACGTGGAAATGTGTTTTTATTTAGAAAAGATATCGGCCTTGTGAGGGCTGATGCCGATTTGATGTTGATTATGTTGCGATGCTATTAATCGGCCAATCTATCTCTATATTAAGGGTCAGTCTTGGCTGCCATCTTTTACATTTTCTGAATAATTCTCCTGATAAACCATAATGTTAAATCACTCATTATATCTGTAAAAATGCAATTGGTACTTTAAGGGTTAAAGGTAACAAACACAATCCTGACTTTTTACTGTTATCACATGTTACCTCTTGGTTTAAAAAACTTTTCAGAGAAGCTACAAAGAGACTAAAATCTCACTTTTGTTGCTACGACCAAACTCAAACTTTCTACCTCTGTATAATTAAGCGTTGTAGTGTCATGAACGGTTTTCTACCTTAGTGCGGTTCACAGCTGTGTTGTTTAAGCAGAGCAGAGAAGACAATAGCCCAGTGTGCGCGGATCAGCTGTGTTGGTTATGTGCAGGATGAAAGACTCACCAACCAGTTGTGACAATGGCAAAGTGCGATAATAACCCGCTGAGATGATTTGAGAAAGACTTGTAAAAGCATCGCACTTGTACGGGGTATTGCACACTCCGAATGGTATGCGTTTGAAGTCAAAGAAACCAGAGGGTGTGGTGAACCCGGTCTCACTGAGTTGCACTGTCTGAGTGCTCTTCAGTGGAGAATAATGCTTCATAATATCCTCCAGACTCTTTCACAGTTATATAAATACAGCATATTCTTTGACTCCCTCTTCACACTCAGCACTCATTAGGCACAAATATTTGGTTCTCAAACACACAAATGAGGCCACATAATTGCTCGATTTTATGCACAATTCAAATTCAAATCATTCCTTCTTGACACAGCCAATACATCTGTCATGCGGCTCCTCGTTTCTTTTTTTTTTTTTGAATAATTAAAAAAAGAAATAGAGAAACATACTAATGAGAGAACCTTACTTGAGGGCTTTACTGCTCCACTGACGATCATATTAATGTATTCCTGTGTGAATTAAACGCATCATCAAACACCTAAGTTCCTTCCATATTTTCCTGTGAAGACGAGGGCTGGACACCGGTGTCTACCTTGCCCTCTGCAAAAATGAAGGGCATTCTTCATTATTACACCTCTTGTGATTACTTGTTAATAGCCATGTGATAAAGGCTCTTCCTTCAAAATTGACTAAAACACTGGGAATTTGGGCTTTTATGAGAATGACATTGTTACGGTCAGTGATTCAGTCATTAAGGCGCGATAAGATGAATTTAAAGTGAAATTAAGATTTATTAGATTTGACATTTTTTGACTTTCTCTGCGAATCTGTTCAGTGATCTAAAATCTCGCACACACCAGCCATCAACATCAGGATTTCTTTGTGTCTTTCTCGTTCACCGGTTCCCCTTTCTCTGCCTGAAGCTCTGTCGACTGCCAGTGTAATCTGTGCCTGACCTTTCTCCACCTCTTTAAACCTCGTCTGTTCCTCCCTCCCTTCAATCCATTCATCCATCCCTCTCCGTCTTCCCCTCCACTCTGCAGATTGACAGTCATCAGAGCTCCTTTCTCTCTGTGTCTGACAGCTTGAACTGGCTCATTAAGGCAAATTGGGAATGGGAGACTAAACTGAGCATGCAGAGTTATTTTAGAGGCCGCTCTGTGACTGAGCAAACATGCCAGCTCATGCTCCATATAATGGCTTGTCCGGGGTTGAAGAAATATGTTAGATTTAATTATCATAACAGAGCATTAGTGCTATGCTGCTGAATGGGTGAAGTCTTGCAGCGTGTGTCAGAAGAGATTAGAGATAATAAGTTGATGATTTTTAATATTTGGAATATGTAACGAGAGGAAAATCAAGTTTTTAAAGTCTTAAACAGACGCTGAACTGCACTGCAGCACGGAAAGTTAAAAAAACAACAACAAAGCATGCAGTAAAGGTGGGTCTGAAGTGTTGGTTTGAATATTTAGAATAGATTTGCCCATAGCTGTTAGAGAGCAAAGCCGGCAATATGTGATTGATCACGTCCCACAGGGGCGACAGCCAGCACGCCATTTATACACAACAAACGGCGTTGGCTACACTAAACTAAGCTCACACAACCTATGCAGATAGCACACTCTTTCATTTTCACATGTGCATGCTAAACCTGGCTGATAAACGATTTGCCTAGCAGCACTTCCGTCCATATTTTATCACGGCAGACAATGCTCGCTGGCGTTGCCAGACTTGGTGTATATCCAGTATTTAGGCAAGAAAGCCTCTCCTCAACCCCTCAACAGCTTGGCTCCCATAATTAACTTACACAGGACGGATGGGAGCCACAGTCGGAGGAAACAGGAATAGAATACAATAAATTAGAGCTGAAGAGGTTTATTAAAGAAGAATGTTTAAATGAACACGGACACAACAGGCACACGTTTAACAGGCCTTTGGTTTGTCATTTTTACACCTTAATTATTGTGGGGCAGGTGAGCTCAGTCATGCAAGAAGTTAACTTTTGCTTTTAAGAGATATAGTTAGTTAGTTAGTTAGTTAGATCATTTCTTTATTTGTTTAAGTGTCATGCACACAAAGTGCCCAACCTACATGGGTTTATAAGACACTAAATAATATCAACAGACATTATTTTATAGTGTGTAAACTGTAAAAAAAAAAGAGGAAAAGGAAAAACACACAAGTATACATACAATTATATCTACACCCGTAAGCTACATAAACTCAAATCAAATGTACATCACATTTTCTTCAGGCCTTATAAATAAAGTTAGCTGTATAAAAAACTTCTCGTAATCATCTAAGTAAATAAAACTCACTGGATAACAAACAAATTTTCTTGCAAAATATACGTCTAAATTTGTCAAAAAAAGGACATATATTTTATCAAGTATATGCATGTATACAACCACTGTTTCAACAACACCAAAAAGCATGTATCATGAATTACAAGCACACGTATACGTTCCCACACTCTGACAGTCAGATGACTGGTCCATGACTTGTTATACACACTCATAACACACATACGCAGACATCAGAGCATCCTCCTCAGTCTAACCTTAACCAGACATATCTCCCTCTACTCCCCAGCTACCTCTGTTTGGACAGATCCTGTGCATGTTTTTTGTTAAGAAAGGATCATTAATAGCTAGAGTCCGACCTCTGACCATCCCTTGAAACCATTAGCCAGGCCGCTGATGGTTTTGATTTGGTGTCCCCGAAGGAGATCTCTTAGGAGTTGCAGAGTTCTTGTCATCAAGGATGACGTGACACTTGTTGTAGAGCGATCCAGTTGTGTTTACAGAATCGAAAATATAAAAATAGACAATGATCTTAAAAAACAAATTGATTCCTGGAAGATATCATTTTTACCTAATATGAAAAATGACAAAAAGATGTTGGCCTAAAGTTGAGATTTGGGCGCATGTTTAAAGAAAAAAGTAAATAAAAGTTATTTTCTGCACACAGAGGCCTGCTTGCGTACAAGTGTCAGTGTGTTCACTTACATGTGCATCCATTTGTGTTTGTGTATTTCTAAATGAGATCGGAGGATAGCTTCCATTCAGTAACCTATCACTTAAATCTGGCTGCAGGGCACAAAGTCCATTTGTCACGTCACGCTTTTGTTATCTCACCGCTCTTCAGAGAAAACAAACAACAAAGCTCACAAAGGAGTCGGACAGAGAAAGCGCTGCCTCATCCAATGAGAGCTTTGCATGAGATATGATGTGAAGAGCTGAGAGGAGGAGAGGAGGAGGAGGGAGATGTGTGATTTAATGTGTGCGTGTTTGAGTGTCACCGTGTCTACAGCATGTGTTGCGAGTTCCTAAAATGTGTGTGTGAGGTGTGTTAGAAGGATACCCGCAGCCTCACCGTGCCGTCCTGTGCCTAAATCATGTGTACAAGCTGTTTCCAATAAACTGTTAAATTTGATAAAGAGGTCTGGTATTATATTACAGAGCCCACAGGGCACTCGGACCTCTGCTATCATGAATACATTTCGCCTGATAATAACGCGGTGACTTCAACCGCTGCCACAGGAAAAACTGCTGCCCTCCTGGAAATCAAGTTGTGAGGCAGGGTGACACCTGTATAAATGGACAGGTGATGAGATTATAATATATTTATGCTTTCTGGGTTAGTGTTAAGGGACTTCTACAAGTGAGCATGAGTAGCACAGGGGACTGGAGGGCACGACTGGGAGTGCCATGGGGGCAAATCCTCTCACTTCACAGAGAGGGATGAACCGCAGAGGTACACAGGGGCATTTGGTTAGAAGACACTGCATGTGAGAAAACAACAATCAGTTGTTATACAGCAAACAAACACAGCACAACAGCTTGATTCATAATGTACCTACTCCTCATTTAACCATTTTATATTAGAGATAAGAATACTTGGTATTATAGAATATATTATATCTATATATTTTTTTCCTCTGACCAGTTACTGTTGAGTGTCCCCAAAACCAGACTCAAGTCTAGAGGTTACAGGGCTTTTTCAGCGGTTGCCCCTAGACTCTGGAACAGTTTAGAGCCTCACAGACCCTAAAGTCTTTTAAATCATCCTTTAAGACCCACATTTTCTCCCTTGGATTTAATAAATTCACACACACAGATCGGCACTGTAGCTTTTATTCTTTTACTGTCTGTATTTTATTCCACTGTTTTTAATTTTATTGTTTTATTGTTATCTATCTATTTATTTACCTTTTTTACTTATCCCTTGTACAACACGTTGTTTGACTGCTGTCTTCTTAAATGTGCTTTATAAATAAACTTTGACTTGATTTTTTAATAACAAAGATTTCACTAATGATTTTGAGTCCAGCAGAGTCACACAATAATAATCATACTTTAATTTAAATCTTTGTTTCTTGAACTCTCTTTTTAACAAACACTTCACAAAGACGTCTAAAAAAACTTTAATTTTTAGACCAGTGGTAGCCCAATTTTAGACCAGACATCTAGGCTACATTTAGACGTCTATTAGACCTCTTTTTGACCTAAAAATGCTCAGTGGGTAATGTTGCATAAAATACACTTTTACGCAATTTTAAGAGTGTCTGGGTCTTAGAGGAATTCTGTTTCCTTTCACCAACCCACTCATTATACAGTATCCGACTTGTTAAGATGACACTAAGTACTGATTTTAAGATGATTAATTTCTTAAGTATGCTTTGACTCTACTTAATGGTTGAATCGATATTAAAATCATAGTAAAAAGCACAGATTTTGGATCAAAACAGCGCATTGATACTTGGAAAACTTGACTTATGGGTCAAGGTTCAACTTCTGATCCACAATTTTTGTGGCATAAAAACATCAGATTTTACTTGAAATGTGAAAATTTGAAATTTAACATGTAATAATGTACAAAATCAAACTTTCCAAAATCATCTCATATCTATTAAAATGCAAATGCAGATATCAAACTTTAAAAACTACATACATAAGAAAACAGGTAGCTGCTAACCCAGCTAGCTTTACTCTGTTAGCACTGGTGTACTTGGTATTCCCGGCTGCACCAGTCTGCCCCATATCTCTGGTCTCCACACAGTATCTGGGTAGCTAAGAAGGTAGGCAGGTGATGAATGTTCAGTAATTGTAAGAGTTCAGTGGTAAAAAGATTCAAATCCATGACAGTGAGAAATGGAAGAGAGCCCCGGGGGAAATTTCAGGCTGTGGGGAAGTGCATCCAACCTGTCTAAATAACAGATCACACCTCAACTTGGTCACTTGCTCAGAACATGCTCTCTGATATTAGAAATGTGCCTTTATTGCAAATGAGTGTGGGTGTGCACAGATCGGTGCAGGAGCTTGTGTTCTTTTTACAAGTTTAAAGCAGCATTAAAGATATGACACACAACAAATCATGTTTGACTCGTAGTAAGATTTAAGATGCGTCAAATAAACGGTTATAAAGTGTCCTCTATTTGCATATTTATGAGACAAATGGACTGTTGAGGGGCTGCTCTGTGTTTTGGTTGTGGATCCACGTTCCTGCATGCAAAGAGACAGCGAGTGTTTTTAATCTTCCTGTTGCATGTCTGAGATTATTGCATTAAAATAAACAGATCTAGTACACTTGTGCATGATATCTGAGAGGTATAATCTTTTGGTTTTGGTCAGTATTTTATGAAATGTTATCCCTCGTTGAGATGACCACACAGCGCAAACCTACATACCAGTTGATCAAGACTCTAGCCACGTTTACATGGGCAAAATTTCTTGATCTGATTAAAAATTTGAGGGATCGGATAATCTGAATCCACTGTTTATATGGGTGCAAAATCAAATAATCCAATCATGCCGTGCGTATACATGCACCAAGTTTTATTCAGATCAGAAGCATTTTGACATTTGCAGAGTTGTCTGATCTTCCTAAAACAACCGAAGAAGAAGAAGAGTTGTATTGACGCCTGTGCTGTCAACAAACCAACAAACGCGGCAGTGGCTCACTTCAGTAAATTCAGGAGTTTTTGCCCTGTTAAGTGTAGTAACTAGATGGCGCCCTTGTGTACTCATTTTACTCTTCTCGCAAAGGTTGCACTGTGCGTGCAGATGTGACATCATTACGTTGTACGCCTTGTTATGTTAGCAGAGGAGCAGGCATGATACTTGTTTACTGGCCTCAATAAATAAACCAAAGGCTTAAGAGTGAAGATAGAGTCAGGTAAGAGAGTCACGATCGGAAAAAGTGTTTACATGGACGCGTTTCAAAATAACAATCGGCATATACCACCGGTCTTGATCGGAATACAATTTCTTTACGTTTAAGCCAAATTGGATCAGAATCTTCCAATCAACATAATTACATAATGCATTTTTATTCCGATCAGGGATTTATTTTTTATTACATTTTTACATTTATTTTTATTTATTATTATTAGTTCAAATCTTAAACCTTTGTTCCCTTTTGTATCTAATGTATCAAACAAGATCAATAAATATTTTTGTTAAATTTTAAGGACATTTTTATGTTTTTGGTTTTCAGTAATAAGTGAAATAAACATTTCAGCTCCAAAAAATTTTGAATTTTCTGGACATAATTTGTGGTTTCAGGCATTAAAGGGTTAAATCTGCACCTTGTTTGGATGTTCAGTTTTAAACTCCGTCCCATCAGGCTTTAGACAAACACTCTGCTCATTATGGGAGTGAATGTTCGATCTGGCCTGCATGCCTCTGACTAGAGAGTTTTCTGATTCACTCTTAAAAGTCTAAATTGAAAGCAGCAAAGAAAGGGCTTTGTTTGGCAAGACGCTCAGAGCATGACTCAGATTAGTTTTTATGAGTGATTATTACAAATCTGTGATGATTATCGAGGATTTTTAAGATGTTGCATGTGTGATTTTATTAAGTGCACACATGTGTAAGTATATGTGTACTTTCCTTTGCAGCTCCTGTAATAATCTGACTATCATTATTTTAATCCATCCTCTGTCTGACACACAACACTTACCCAGTCATGAAGCTCGACATGTCTCATCCCATCCAAAACAGTGTCAAGGAGAGTTTTGAAGCAAATAATCTGACAGCAGCGCACACATATTAATTACAGCAGCTTCTCCACCCAATCAGGAGCCGGTAAGCAGAAAACCAGCCATTAAATTCAGCCCTTTTATTAAACTGGCAGCGCTCTCTTCCTCTGCTTGGATATCATCTTAATCAAGAATGGACAAAAGGAGAAAGACGCTTATTTTATCAACAAGTTGCTGCAATCGCTTTTACAGCTTTTCTGTGTCTTATTTAATGAGTTTTCACAGATGTTGTGTGTTACTAAAGATATCCTGACAATGAAAAATGAAGCCTGATGATAAATTCATTCTGTGGGTTCGGATCTTCCAACAAACTTTTATAACTTCATCATCAAGGATGCCGCCTTGGTTACAGTAACGGTGCATAAATCATCAAGGGTGCTTAAACAGAGCGCTGCCTGCGGGTATTTCCCAAAGCGAGAGGATAAAACTTTTTACTAATAATACAGGAAGACTTCATCACACAGTCGCAGAGAAAACTGCATCAGACACCGAATGACAGGAGGGAGAAGTTTGATGCTAAAGGGTGATCGCCGTTGTCAATAAAGAGCCGCACGTGTAGACTTGATCTGCAGACAGGACGCAATTGGAGAGACAGCACCAAGACAAAAACCAACACACCTACTGTACGTCGCCTCCAGCTGTTGTCTGAGTACAACAAGTTTGTAATAAACTAACAATCTAAGTTTAACTCGGTGGTCAGGCGGTCAAAACAGAGTAAAAGAAAACAGGAGAGGTCGTCTGCCTCTCTGGAAGGAGGGCTCATAAAGAGCCAAACTCAGCAAACAAAAACAAATGAGCACCCTGTCCACTTCCTCCTAAGTTAAGCTGTAGAAATACAGACCGGACAACTGGTATTAGGAGGACAATCATCGGGCTCTCACATTATTAATGACATAATTACTGCGTGGAGACAGAAGGAGGGGGAGAGGAAGAGAGAAAAAAGACAGAAAGTGGTGAGTGTAAAGGAGGAACAAAGAAAAAAAGGCAAAATCAGACAAAAAGGGAGGGAGTTAGAGGAGAAAAGATGGACTGACGTCTCCTTTGGGGTCTTGTGAAGAGGACGTTTCACGTTATTTTGGGTGTCTGGACCCTCCCTCGTTGTTAATTGGAGTCCTCGGTTGTATCCCACCATCCTGTACACTGTTGGCGCCCCCCAAGGTGCAGGGAATTACCGTGTCTGTCTCCCCTCCGCTATATTTAGGCCATTTAAGGTTGCTTGGTTTTAAAAGGGAAAGTCAAAAGATGCCATTCTTCATGAATGTCTGAGGATATGAATAGGGTCGCCGCTTCTCTTCCCTCTGTCCCCTCAGGAGTTCACCTTTTCAAATATAACGAATGCCTCAATTAAAATCCCTTTCAAACACCATGCTTATTTTTCGATAACAATCGTGCGTCGCTCCCCTTTGGTTCCCCCCTTCTCTCTCCCTCTCTCTGTGAAGGCACATGGAGGGCAGATGATGCTCCTGAGTAAAGAGAAACAGAGAGACAAAGGCAAATGTAGAAATGCAGAGAAAGGGGAAACAGTAAGGCGACGAGAGATGGATAAAAATAGGAGGAAAGAGGAAGGAGAGATGAGTGTGTGTGTGGGAGAAGGAGAAAGAGAGGTGTAGATGTGATGTTGGATGAACGCAGGGTCTGGGATGATGTGAGCCAGCAGATGGCAGGGTAAGAACAGTAATATGGCCGGTTCCACTCTGGCTCTCTGTAGCCAAACAGCAGGTCAGCAGGGAGTCCTCAGTGCTGCACACACAGACACATGCATAACAGAAGCAACGCACACAGGTAAATTCATTAAAAAAACCACATGCGCTCGAAGATGTTCACTTTTTCTTTTATGCAAACCAGACAGGATGCACACTCAAAGTTTCGCATCGACTTTTCGCTTATTTCTTTTTTTTTTTCAGTCATAGATTTGACAAACATCCGTCAAACGTGCCCCATTGTCAAAGGTCGTGGGTGGCGTGCCTCATGCAAGTTAAAGCCCTAATGGTTACAAGACAGTTTGTCGCCATTTGGAGGCTCACAGGGAAATGAAACTAATGCAGAATAATGCATTCTCAGGTTGTCATTAGCATTAGGAATAGTGAAAAGCATTCAGGCTCCGTGGAAGATGGCTGGCTTTAATAAAAGACCACTTAAAGACAGCAAACAACAGCAAACAAGTAAATCTAAAAAAGCTGGGCTCGGCTCGCTCGCTTAAGACCCGTGGACATTATCAGCATCTGAACTGTATGGTGGAGGAGATTAACTGGCTGGTGTTGTTTAGCTTAGCTCCATGTTGGCTGCGTTCGATTGAGCCGGAGGGAGGAAACCAAAGACAGACTTTTTCCATTCAGTAATATTGACTAATTAATAATTATGTCAAGTCCTCATTTCCAGTTTTTCGGTAACATGCTGCTTTGTGGCCTCGAATGCAACCTGTTTTCTCTTTCGAAAGGAAGCTCTGTTTACTGCGTCTCCAAAACGTGCCTCGCTGCATGTAAATCCACACGGCTAAATTAGACTCGGGTAAATGATGGTTTTACATGTTGCAGAGGGTACGAGCGGAGCACAGAGGGTATAAAAGCGGATCAGGCGCTGTTAGAGGCTAACAAGCGGGCTTGTTGTGGAGTTGAGTGTGGTTTTCATGCAGAGCTCCAGCTGTTTGGCATAGAAGAGGCTCAAAGCAAAGAAGCAATATATTTGAACATCCTTTCTCTCTCTCTCTCTTTCTCTTTCTCTCTCTGTCTATACATGTGTGCATCTCTCGCCCCCGTTATCTATTTGCGCTCGTCTCTCCCTCTTTCTCATTGCAAGTCTAAACCAATAACGTATGATATCTTTATCTTAGGAGTCACGGTAATATCATATAGCACACAGACATCCCCACTTGCCTTTTGGGCTTTTCTTCCTCTGACTCTGTGCGGATAGTCATCGTCAGGAGCGTCTCTTGACGATTCCCAAAATGCGACGTAATGGTTTGTTTATGATTATTTTCTGTAGGATTTGTCTCCATCTCTTCTGACTGATGTTTAGAGAGGAGTACACGGCAAATTGGATGGCGAAATCCCCGGCGATTGTGTCCCTAACACATCCGGGACACCACCGGCAAATAAATCTCCCCGACTCCAATAAAATATGTTATTTCTTCACTATGAATCATACAACATGGCCGGCTCTCGTCTCTGACCATACCGTGTTGGCTGCAGGCTCTGAGATCTTTCACAGAGAATTAGAAGATATATAGAGGAAGACAGTGGTTGTTAAACTCTGTCGGGGAGTGTACGTTCCCACAGTTTCTCAAGAGCAGAAATGATTTTGCAAATTGATTCGGAAGCCTAGCTGGTGCATTATGCTGCTGTTATTATATTTGACCCATATTGTTTTTATTCCCTCTTGGGTTGCAGCAGTTTAAGGAAGCCTTGTGTTTTTATTTTACAGGCCTTCAAAACCATTTCGCTCCACATTTGTTTTTGGTTGGAATTTAATTGCACCATTTTGTTCTGAAGCCACCCTCCATGTGGGATATGATGTGTTCAAATTGTTGACAAAATATACAAGCATGTTAAAGCCTACTGTGTTTATTCCTCTCGTCTTCACCCCCTCTTAATAGTTCAAATTTCCTCCTCTTACCCATCTGGCCTAATATTATCCTCTTAAACCCAAACAGCAGTTTACTCCTCACCTTGTTGGGTCACAATGCAGCAGGCATGTCGAGGCAGACCTCTATTTAAAGATGGTGCAAATGTTTGGGTGGCTCAACCCTTTCAAATTAAATGGAAGACATCCCAGGGAGGCCTATCAAAAATGATTAAAAAGGGTGGAAGACAGCGTGTGTGTGAAGTGTCAAGACGAGTCGACACAGGCTAGCCGACCTGCACCGAGAGCCAGGAAGCTTATTAGCATTTCAGCGCATAGCAACCTGCCTAGCCTGGAGCACTGATCTTAACACGGTCTGTCCAAAACCACACCGCTCTCTCTCTCTCTCTCTCTCTCTTCCTGCATGTGCAAAAACATTTATGTCAAGTTGGTGGTTCACTCAAGCCGGGGAATGTCTCTGCATTAACGTCAAACCGGAGCTGCATCCTGACAAAAAGTGTTTGTATACGATCCTCTTGACAAGTTTGATGCCTTCCAAACACAGCGTGAGGAAAAGCAGAGGAGAAGAAACTAAGTTCTCAGTTATCAGATCAGGATGTCGAAATATATCATAGCTGCGGTTTCAAACTTTCTGGGGTGGAAATCGTATATGACTCAGTCTCATTAAAGAAGCCAGATTCCTGTCATGTTTGGACCCAGCAGAAATGTTAGTTTTTCACCGTGGTAACGGTGTATTTCTCTGCTTTAAGGAGCCAGTTATTTTCTCAGGCAAATTTCAAGTGCCATCTCCAACTTTTACCAAAGTTTAGACATTCATTTAAGTGACATTTTAACTTGGAAGGATCTGTCAGAAGCATAAAGTATGTTTAAGTTTCAGTTTGATCAAATACTGCAAGAGTCAGGTGCTGCGGGCTAAAACCCACTATCTGGACAAAAAGTGGCGCTCTCTTTCATTTTTAATCTCTGTCATTCCTTTTTCTCATCTCTCCGTCTTTGTCTGAGTCTGTATTGACTTCAGAGGGAAAAAAAACCTTCATTGCCAGACATTTTTCAGACCGAGGAAGTTGAGTTTAAGTAATTATAGGTTCTCACTGGAGCAAGTTTTTCAAAAAGAAAATTAAGAGCCACTATTATTGTGATTAAATACAGCAAAACAATATTTTTCTGGTTAAATGTCAAGAATTTTATCAAGAATGTGACAATTTTTGTGTCATTTTTTTTGGATAGAATAGGATTCATAACCCAGAATATCAGCAATACGCCTCAGAAGCATCAGCTATGAGAGAAACTTTCTGTGCCGAAGCTTCAAAGGTTTCTGCGTCGAGTTTCTCCCCCTCTTTTTTCACCCAACAAGATGTAAGAGCATCACAACTGGACCACGACCCTTAATCAGTCACTGCTGCGCCGTGTTTCGATATCAACCATTTCATATGACTTTATTGACTCAGAGTTTTTATGCTCTTCTTCATCCTGACAGTATAAAGAATGGGCTGACGGCACTCGTCCAAGATTGGAGGCCATTTTGCTGCTGAGCTCTGTGCTCAACAATGTGACTAATGGGAAGCCCTGGAGGACTTTAGGAGGTATCACTCAAAAACAAAGTTTGAAGTAGTGAGAAAGAGGAGGGGAGTTGTGTTTACAGATGCACTTTGGCAACAAATATTTTCAGATTTTAAAGATTCAACTTTTGGTTTGTATAAAAGTCCGACTAATTAATCTGTCATGATGTGCGCTCTCATACGGCGGGTTTCCTTAGTCCCTAGACTCACTCGTCTCACTGAAGCGACCTTGGGATTGGGGGGAGCCTGCATGCCTACCTTATAGCTCCCAGCCTTCCGCGAGCCCCCACAGAGCGTCTCATCATCTCAAATTAAAGATAAGGTCTGCCTACTCTGTGTACGCTAGCTACCCTACCTTTGGCATGTGGTCGTTGCTAATTACTTTGAGCTGTTAAGGGAGACATATCTGGGGAGACAGGCAGGAGGGAGAGACCTACAAACCCAGTTTAAAAGAAGAATCTGATTTTCCTATTGCTCCCGATGGCTTTGTTTGACCTGTTGGATTTTGCATTGTTCTCTCATGGTTGGGTTTTACCTTCGTTTTTTTTCCAAAGTCAAATCCTGTAGCTTGCAAACTGTGTTTCCAATCGTGCCTCGAATATTGCATCATGGGTAAACAAATGAGGATGAAAATATGTATGAAGAGTCTTGTAAATGTGTTTGTGTATGTGTGTACATGTGGCAGGTAGGTCTTTATAGAGGTTGCTAAAGTCTTAGTCCCTCTTGTGATCTGGCTCTGGTGTTAGTAAGCGGCCTGGGAAAAGTCAGCTGTCGTATATACATGTAATTTTCTGTAAAACAATATCCGTGGTTAAATTTGCTCTGGGTTATACATTATTGAAGAAGGATGGAAAAGAATAAATGGCAAAAGCGATCATTAGAGAAAACAAAACAAAAGTGGCGTTAATCAATTTGAAACAGTAAATTAGCCAGTATAAATCATCGCCGGGGCTGCAGCGTGCCGTGGCGGCAGCGGTGGTGGTGGTGACGGTGGTGTCAGGGATCTGGTTTAGCGTGCTTGCTGCCTGGTAAACTGCTCCATTTAACTCCCCTCCATCTCCCACTGGCTCATTGCTAAATAAGGATATCAATTAGGCTAAAGCACTCAGCAAAGGCTCCCAAGTTAACCATCAGCCGAGGCATGAATGGATCTTTGGGGATATTGACTGCTGCGGCAATAGGTTTGTAAGTGGGCTGACCAAGGGGTAATTAAAGCAGCGTTATCATGTTATACAGTTTATGGTGCTTCTGCCGCTCCTGCTTTGCTGTCGATTCAAGGAAAGCAAATGAAAGTTATTTTTATGTTTGATCTAAATCTGGTTTAAGATCTGGAGTCTATTTGTGGGTTTTAGTCCAGGTTGAGATACAATCATTTTCAGACAGTAGCTGGTTCTTTCTCTGTGAGTCTGTGAGTAATGTCTTTACATGATGTGGAGGAAATCAAAAGGAGCAAGCTCAAGCCTGCCCGCTATACGAGGTGGCCTTGATGTATGTGCAATTACAGCATAATTACAGAGATAATTACTGTATGGGCAAGATTAATAACTTTATTAGCTAAAATGGTTCACTTTTAAAAGAGGGAAATGCATACGTTGGTCTAGCAGATCTAAATTTGTTGAAAGTCAATTAACAGGCTGATTTTGTGTCTCATTACTCACGTGTTTCACCTTGGAAAGGCACCTTGAGGAGCTAAATTTAAAATGTAAAAAAGGTCAGGAAGTCCCTCGTACAATTAATCCAGGAGTTTCTAAAGAATTCCATCATCATCGCGCAAATGAAAGAGTGTCTATTTTAACCGATCGAACCAGAAAAACCCGCAGAATTCAATCCTGTCAGCCTCCTCAACACATCTCAATTAGCAGAGGGGGAGAGTTAACTACAGTCCGCGCAGTTTTCTCTGGACTTTGTGAGTTTAAATTGGTATTCGCCATTGTTTTGACAGCAGATCATGTTCAGTGCGCCTGTGTTTGACTGGGCAACACTGGGCCCTTAAGCTCCTTTGAAACAATAATAACTTCTCCTCTTTAATTTAGCCAACCTAGCCACATTGCACCGTTGACAGGGCTAGATTTGTCTTATCAAGACCTATTAACCATTTCCATTTTCTTATTAAATGCATGCCGCATAATTTGTGATTTTTTCAAACGTGATGTAATTATGATGTATCATTTCCCTCAAATAAAGGCCCTGTCCTCTCTTGGTGTTAATTTGAGCGTGTGAACTTTATACTTTGAACTAATTGGTTGCTGTCGAAATCCCCTGAATGTGAGTAATTCGATCAGGTATTCCATAACCATTGTACAATTTAATTTGAGTAATTTAATTGGATTTGACTGCTCATTTCTGGGCCACTCTCCACTCAGTATTCAAGAACTGCAGAGCTGCGGAGGTATCCCGAGGCAAACACACACACCGGCTGCCACCAGCCTCTCTCACCAACAGAGCGCAGAACCTCCAACTACAGAGCACAGCTGGATCAGACCATGGATACCTTGATAACTCATATTATAAATTCAATGTGCTTGACTTTAAGGATAAAGCATCAAACTGTAAGCTTTAAACCTCAGATTCAAGATGATGATCGCTCCCAACAAGAATATAATAGGTTGTATTTTTCTTTATTTTACACAAGAGCAATGGGATTACTCTTCATAAACTGCATTAACACAGGCGATGCCATCTACTTCTACCGCTCCTCGGACCAATTGAGCTTGTACCCCGCATGAAATGTCATTCACGCTGCACTGCGGAGGACTTTATCTGTCCTTAGAGGGTCAGCCATCTTGTCTTAGTGGTCGCAGAGGCCTGGAGACTCGGAGGCGGCGGAGAGCGAACGAAGTGGAGACAGGCTCCCCTGCCACCCTGATGTGCTGGGAAAACAGTGCAAGGAGCATGCTGAGAGACAGAAAGGGAGCGGATGAAAAAGAGAGAGAGAGAAGAGAGATGGCGGGAGAGAGATGCCCATGGGCGAGACTGGCGCTGTCTTGCTCGGGCCCTCCTTCTAGTGCCAGAGACAGGGAGGACGCTGCCACTCTGCATCAGCCTTATGTAGTATTCATAGCAGCAGGTCCTTCTAACACAATTTGTGACCTCCACCCCAGCTGAAGAATATTGGAGTTTAACAATGGGCCGCTCTGTAGGGAGCGAGCACGCCGAGACCCCGGCGAGCAACTTCCTCGTCTATTATTTCTCTTTTTATATATTGTGTCGAATGTGTCTTTTCTGGGAATTCCACAATAAAATGACTGTTATTTATCATTACCAGCCTCTTTATCATTTAGTCAATAAAAGGCCCCTCACTTTCTCTCTCTCCTTCCCTCCATCGCAGTCTGGGAGTCAGATATCTGTATTAGTCCCCCCCTGCCTCGGGGCAAGCCGTGTCAAAAGCTAAATCATGATCAGCTATGGCTTTCTGGCTAAATTGTGTATGAAGGCCCCAGGCAGAAAAGGTGCACATGCTCATTATTGGAGACACAGAGAGAAAGAGAGTGAAGTTTGCACACACGCACTAAATAACGTGCACACATAGACACGCAAACAAAACGAGGATAAACTGCAACACGTATGCTGAGAGTACATGGGTCAGGAGGACCTGTGGAAATAGTTTCACTGATAACATGAATCAACCCAATGTCTGATTTTCTGGCATGCAGATCACCAGAGAGCAAATTTTATGCCATGTTACACTGTTTTTTTTGTGCTCCCGTGAAAATTGGAGTAATAACTTTGTTAGAATAATAGACGCACAAGCTGATGTAACCTACAAACCTTTTACTGCCAAGAAGTATCAGAGAAAGAGCCTGAAAACACACGTGTTTCATTCTACATTGTAGAAACCATGACATTTCCAGTTTGATACCAAAGACACTGACTTACAACAAGCGTGGTAATATTATATATTATATTTTATATTACAGTGATCTGATGTTTTGACTCAGATTTGGGAAAGTTGTGTGAAGAAAGTTACTTATAGGAATTATTCGACTCACAGTCCAATGCAGGGAATAAAGTTTTGATAGTATTACATGAGAATTATGCCAGAGTCATACTTTATCTGATAAGCCTGGTTATACCCTGAACTGGAAGGGATAGTGTTTCAGGTCCTTTCAGCCTTGATAATGAAGTCCAATATCCAATTAAGTGAATTGATAAGGCTTCTTTTGCAACAATACATGAATACAGTATATTGAATTAGTCACAAAATGCAATCCATGTATTAGCGTACATGATCACACGTTTTAATTGCATGTTTAATGGAAATGTATGTTGTGAAGCACCACCAGAGTCAAAGATGAAATTCTAAGTCTCCATGGTTCAAGTCTGACACACTAAAGAAGAATCAAGTCTGAACTTGATATCTTGAACCTGCTGGTTGCGTTGCTTATGTTGTGCTAACATCTCCATTAGCTTGATAATGGTGACATAATCAACCGACCAAGGAGACAAACTATGTGGATCCTGGACAGATATCTGTTCAAGTTTGAGGTTATCTTACCTTAAGTTTTTTGCACAGCTCCTGTTTGTGCTCACTATGTAACATCTTTGAAAACGATGTGTTCATGGCACCATTTTAGCCCCCCTGCAGTTGCGAACAAAAGGCGAAGTGAAAATACGTGTGGGGTAACATGTGCCAGCCATGGAAAATGAGTAAAATGTCAGGGTTGTAAAACCAAAATGTTTTAAAAAAGGAATAAGTCTGAGCCCTCATTATTGCATCCTCTGAAAAACTAAAGTTCAAGCCAAGTCACAAGTCCTGAGGATTAGTCAGAGTCCTGGATTACATCATGATAAACGTAAGAGAAAGAAGAAGATGGATAATGAGGCCAATCATGAAACTTTAAACATTTATGAAACCTGAATTCATCCTAAACTGATTTTTTTTGTGTCCTCAGACTATTGCATGTGTACAATATTTGTTTAGGTTTAGGCATCAAACTTCTGAATGAACTTTTAGAGATCACCTTTGATTAAGACAACAGAAGTCTACTGAGAAAGAGTTTTCTGAGGACTTCAATGGAAGCAAACTTTTCCCAATGTTATGTCACTTAATGATAACAGGCAAAAACAAAGAAAAAAGGGGATAAATTCATGTAAATGGACATTAAAGCCATGAGACTAAAATATTGTTTAAAAAATAACAAACAAAAAAACAAGGAATTCTTGTTCCAGTTGTTTTTCGTTCTTTTCTTTCTTTCTTTCTGGGCTACTGAAATATTTATTTCTATCGTAAGTATGACAAAATTGGGACTGACCCACTTTTGGAGTCAGTGGCCTTTGAAAGGACTGTATTTGTCTCTCTTACTTTGTGTCTTTCTCCTTGAGCTTTTCACACAATTCTCACACACACATACCGTACACACACACACACGCACACACAAACATACACATATAAAGGTATAAAGTTTCAAAATTCATTAACATGGTTGAACCAGAAGCTGCTTGATACACAGTGGGAAACATTTGCCATGATTCCTACTGTACATTAAAAAAACCCTACAATGGAAAACAGGACTGAGGTCCCCCTTTAGGACATTATCACCTTGACCAGTCCTCTGGAGGGACCTCCTCTCCCCTGTGGGCTAGCACTTCCTGCTAGCGCTAATTAATTAAGGGGGCAGGTTGGCCACAGTGGAGAGTCGGCCCTGAGCCTTTTCATCTAACAGACAGGATGCCTAGAGACTTATCGCCTCCTCTCCCAATAATGCCACTGCACAGACCAGTGGAGAAGTCAGTGGAGATTTAGGGACAGGTATGCCACAGATGAAAACTCCACTGTGAAGCTTTTGCTTTAAGACTTCTTTTAATCTCCGGTGAGCTTGCTGTAAGTGTCTGTCTGCTAAGTATGTTGTAAATTGATTTTAAAGATAGCCATCACACTTGCCTCTGTATAATTAACTCATATACTAAACCTCCTGTAACCTATGACTACTATAAACTATATTCTTATATTTCCATACACTACTTCACACTAGTGCAGAGGACCACATCAGAACATCCGCACATGGTTCTTGTTCGCAAAAGAAAAAAAAAAGTGTCAGTGGGAAATAGAGCTGGGAAGCAAGTGGGGGAAATAATACGACCACATTTAATGAAAGGTTAAATTTTCATTTACTCACTATTGACTGAGCTGAAAGGGCCATTATTTATTGTATTGGCATGATGTGGCCCATTAGTGCTGTATTGGAATTGGTTTGGCTTCTTTTCCCTCCCTTTTTTCACTGACTCTGTTGTTCAGCACTGTAGGATCGCTCCAAGCTAAAATGTGAGAAAAGACCTGTTTGTGTGGCGTGTGTGTGTATGTGTGTGTGTGTGTAAGCATGTGCCCGTTTTCACATATGTGCACACAGGATAGAGGCGCAGACACGTATAGGGCCGTGCACAACTCCTCAAACTTTCCCTGCTGAATTCCTTTTGTTCGTTTATCCATCTTCTGCATCTTCACATATTGCACAGTGATTCGGCCATCGATCTGTTGTTCCCACGATCCCACTGACACATCAATGACAATCTAATTCCATTCAACGGATTTTATCGGCCACCGTCTCCGCAAAGTGACAAGACACATTGCGGCCGTGCGTAATCTAATAAAACGTTGCCCTGCTCAATCCAGATTAAGTCACGAGACACCGGGGCTCCAGAAACACACAGCACATTCATTTAGAGGAGCTTTCTAATTGGGGTTGGTGGTAGAGAGGCAGAAGGTGCGAATGTTGCTCCGTTTTAACTCAGAGAAACCCTCTCTAATATGATTAACTCATTTGTTTATTAGCATCCTGGTGTACACAAGACCTTATTGCAATAATGAGGCAACATCTACATAATTCCACACTTAACCGAAAGGCCCCGAGGCCCAACTTAACACAAACATTCAAACACAAGATCAGGTCAAGAGCTTTGAGGTTTCAAAGACTAATGTAGGCTGGGGATTGTTGCTTGAAAACCGAACATTAAAGTGTGATTGCAACAACTCTTCTGCGTGTTAGGAGGCCAAACTGCTCCAAAGTCCTGCTTTTATTGTTGATATTTAATTTTAAAATGAAAACAGCAGGAAGTTTCTCACTTTGATGTTTTTTTTAAAAGAGGTGAAGTGCATGAGCAATTTCTTTTTGGCTCTTTTTATGCACTTGTGTCACAGATTTGTCCTTTTAACTAAGATTTTGGTGTTCGTTGTTACAGTGCCAATTCATAACACATTATATACTTTCTTTTAACAGGCAGAGCCCACAAACAAAACCAAACTTGGTGCTTGGAAAGAGTTTGCTTTCTTTTTTTTTTTTACGTTTCTTTGTCTGACGAGGTTTTGTTTACTCCCTGGTTTCCTAGCAACACATCCATGTTGTTCAGCCACAAAGGGCATGTGCAGAACGCTTTGGCCAGTTCTAGTTTGATACAGATATACATGTAAGAGAAAAATTGATCCTTAACCACATCATATGTTTGTCTGACTATGTGGAGTTTGATTTCAGTGCGATTTCAGTCGGACTATCATGTTTACATGCATTTATAAAGTCCAGTTTCAGTTTGACTATAGCAACAAATCCATTTTGTAAGTGCATGTAAATGTACTGGCCATTTTGGCCCAGCTGTACAGTAGTTTTCATGACTTTTTAGAGTTGTTTTATGTCAGACAATTGAAATAAATTCAACTAGAAATATTGAAATGCAGTTTAGGGTGTCTTGAGCTCATTGTTTGCTTCTTGGTTTTTAAAATCAGGTACAATCTCGCTTACTGTGACTATTCTGGCATGATCCTGACCTTGGCCTTGAAGATCTGACCCTCTCCGTCTTAATTTTCTTGGGTTTTTATCCCAGAAAACTCTGACAAGGGGCGCCAGATGGCTGGGGCTTTTTAAACAGACTGGCATGGCTAGACTGACTTCTCAGACCCCCAACACACACTCTCATTTAGGTACGAACACACATTCGGAGCAGTGTCACTGAGGTTAGTGTGCTAAGAATGGTAATGCCACTGTGAGTGCCATCTGGCAAAGTGGGGTCAAGGTGACACCTCCAGGAGCTGCGACCTGAACCAACTGAGCTCATTCGCCCGTCGTTTGGGTTGTGTGTAGCTTGGGTGAGATAAAGTCTCCATGTATGCTCTCTAGATTTTGCAGATTGTTTGTTTTTGCATAGTCTTGCTGTAAAATGATTTAGGATACTCATTTGCTTTGCATTGTACCCCAGTACTGTACACATGCAGTCACCTTAAACACACATACCTGCATGCTCTTCAAATCTTACGACTCCATCATTTCCCCTTGACACGCTTCTTTCCCCCTGTTTCCTAAACTCTACATAAACAGTGTGGGGCTTTACGGCCTTGTTTTCTGTCTGTCGGCGCGCTGTGCCAGCATCCGACACCAGCTCCCCGCCACTTTCACAGGCTGTAAACATCTGAGCAAGGCCTTTCATCTGGTCAATGTGGCAAGGGGACCCAGGGGCTCTGGATTAGCGCCACGATAAAAACAGGCTCCCGCACTTGGTTTAGCAAGCTGCAAGCTCACGACTGTGACATGCTGCGTTTAAAAAAAAAAAAAAAAAAAAGAGGAAAGAAAAAAAAGGTTTACAGGCCAACACCACAAATTAATAGTTTCCTCCAGAAGGCAAACTTGTTCCAGAGAGGGCTCATTAATTTAGCATTAAAAAAGCAGGGACAATTAGACAGTAGGTTGGGTTTTTTTTTCAGTCTGTGTCTGTGTAATTTTGTTTTCAGACGAGTCATTCCTAAATGTGGTACGTGTTTGTCTGTGGACTCTTGATCCAAGGGTTTCATGGACGCCCAAAATCAAGGTGTCATCAAAACTTGTCTTAGCGTCGAATATACCGCTGATCCATCTTGATGTAGTCATTCATTCATTTATAGATACATCTACCATGTGTTTTATCTCACTGAAAGGGCAAGTGATTTTCTTTCTCTGCTGTGTCAGGGTGGAGATGGACTATGGTTCAACAGCATTAATATTTAAGGGACTTCAGCTACTGGTCTGGCCCTCATCCATTATTTGGGTGCTTTTTGACACTCACAGATTGTTGTCCCTAGGTGACGCACAGACAGCATCCAAAATGTAACTCACTTAAAAACAGAGTTTGTCATAGGTGAGGCTCAGGAAGAAATTTATCAGACGAGATTCCTGGTTTGATGACTTTTCGTTCTGCTGGGGGATAAAAAATGTAAGGAAATAGTTTGGAAATCATTTCTTTGAAGTTAAACATGAACGAATATTATGATAAAATGCATTTTGACTTAATTTTCAGTCTGATATGATGCTGTTTGAGGATGCCCACAGGGGAGCACTTTGCCTCTTTCACCAGTCTGTCATTATAAGGTTGAAATGATGAGCCCATATACGGTCTGTATGTATGGATCTAAAAGGCAGTATATCTCAGTCTCACATACACATGCAGACAAATTCAGGCCCACATACCTGAAAATGGTTTCAAGGACTCGGGGGAATGTGGCGGTTCTGACACTGAGAAGCCGCCCCCCCACCCCTCCTCAGCCCCCCAACAACCCACCACCTCTGTGTCCTGTTTCTGGGGCCCCTAATGCATCCCCAGACCCCTGCCAGAGCAGAGGCTCGACAACATGCTGGAGCAAATCAAGTATTGACCTGAAGCAGTTATGTGCTGTAGAACATTATATTCTCATCCGGGTGGCGTGGTGACTGTAAAGAACACTCTGTTTGCCGTGAAACATGGCTTTGCTTATGCGCTCTGCTGCACGCCCGGGCGCCCACGACGCTCGTACATCAAGCGCCGGCCTTGTCGCTTGCTTTATTGAGAGGGAAAACAAAGGGTTGAGCCGCTTGGAATCATTTTTTCTTGGGACGATTTTTCAAAGCAGCACCAAAAGCTTTCCTTTTGGGGTTTTGGGGTGGCCGAGGAGAGGAGAGCGGGCAATAAAATTGATGAATGGCAGATTGATGGATTTCATTGCTTCGTTGAAGAGAAAAACAAGAGGGATGCACATAAGATTTTTTTTTTATAGTCGGAGAGTTTGTTAAAGTTACTTCTGACAAATGGAGATGCTTCAGTGCAGGTTTTTATGTGATAGTTTTTTTTTATTAATAGTAGATAAGAGGTAGTTGGACAAGCGTAAGAAAAGGAAGAGTATAAAAACGTTAATTTGGAAATTTAACAGTTTTGACAAAATCTTGATACCATCTATGTACAAAGATCTATTAAAGCAGAAAATAATGTGTCTGGTCTGACAAAATTTGAGTTTCAGACTTCACAAAAATAGTCATCATTCTGTAGATAAGAGAGCTTCTTTGTCAATGAGTTAATAAGACGAATATAAGAGGAAGAAGAGTATAAAAACATTAATTTGGAAATTCAACATTGTTTACAAAATCTCAATATCATCTATGTACAAAGAAAGCTGGGAAATAATGTGTCTGGTCTGATAAAATGTGAGTTTCAAACTTGACAAAAATACTCATCATTCTGTACGAATCTTACAAACACGTTAATTTGTAGGTTTTTGTGATTTACACTAAATTGGTCACTGATTGCAACCAAAAAGCTGCAATAATGCCAATGATGAAGTATGATAGAGTAAGCCTTGTGCAGACTGGCACATACTGTATCTGTCCCTGTAAAGCACTTCTTCTTCTCTAGAATCATTTTCTGATCATATTAAGGGTACGGTATGGCAAAAAACTACTGGGAATCCAAACTTTATTTTATATTGATCTAAGCATTTATGTTGATCTACATTTGGAGGAGGTTTTGACTTTAGTTTCCTTGTATTTTTAACAGGTTTGTTTCGGACTTGATGGCTTGATGACAAAATCTCATCCTACTAAGGTAAGGAGAAGTGAAGGTCAACTTTCATAACCTAGCAACGGTAAAGGCTAAGGTTGCTACCAGCGCAAAAAAACGCCCTAAATCAACTCTGGTGTTATTCCACTTATAACTTTTTGCCAGTTGTTTGCAACAAGAATAGCATTTGTTACCTGGGATAGGGTTCAATAAGTAAAGACTTGATGGTTAAGGTCAGAAAAGACCACTACATCGTGACATGTCAGGCCATGTGAAGTTAAACTTTAAATCTAAAACCACGACCTTTCCCTAACTTTATAATAAGCGTGAAAATCTGCTCATTCTCTGGATTCTCCTCAAAGATTTATCGTTAGTCTGAGAAAATAATTAGTTCCCAGTCTATTTGAGTACACTGAAAAGTTTGGATTATAACAGTTACGCTACAAATAAACCTCGACACAACAGGTTGTTAATGAATACAAAAGTGTTTTCTTTTTAATCAATTGCTTTTAATAAGAAATATCATATTTAATTGCAAAACTGCAATTTTTCACTCTTGCATTCTTTCTCCCAGTCAATACGAGGCCTTAGACTTTAATAATGAGCCATTAAACAATGTGTTTAGTAAATTGATCTGTGAAGAAACACACAATCACCAACAGCCACTAATGAGTTCCCATTTGTCTCTGAGAGCAAGTCGAGATGGAGTGAGCAGCCCCCCATCCCTCTCTTTTCTCTCCGCTGTATTTATTCTTTTTTTCTTTCTCTTCTCCTCAACCTCGCTCTTTAAAATCCTCCTCTTCCTCACATTTTATAGCCAGCTCTGTATCTGTCCACTATCTCTTCTCTCACCCTTCCTTCTCTCTCTCTCTCTCTTCCCTCCTAAAGGACACAGGTGACTGAACCCATGACTGTCCTGGCGTCAGAGGATGATACATAACAGCTCAGCCCCGAATGACAAATCCAGCCGACAGTGGGCCGAGAAGAGACATATTGATTTTTCAATGATTAATAAGTGGAAAATAATTGTGTTTCATTAAGATGGATGGAGTTTCATTTAGTCCTGTCTCCTCTTCTTCACTTCAGCGCTGGGCAGGCAATCAAATCTACCGCTACCACAACCCGTTAGCCTGCTATGGCAACAAGGCCTGCCACGCGTGTGTGTGTGTGTGTCTGTGTGTGTGTGTGTGGAGAAGGAAGGCAATGTGAAAATAAGATAAGAGTCTATCTCTCAAAGGGGGAACACATTTACTGGGAGAAAAATATACAGACCCCATAGAGAGATCAAATGGGGACCACAAGAACCCAATATTTTATCCTGAGAATATTTCGACAACACTGATTATGTTTACATATGTAGAGATTTTTCACTCCTCCCAAGGTCTTTCATCCTGGATTTAGGTCATCACATTGGTCAGAATGACTCTGGTTAGCTCATACCTCTATCATGGAAACTGGAAACCACAAATCAGTGTCGGTGACGGCTGGCCAAATGTTGGCACAAATGTCAGTCCCTTTGAATCAAAGGGCTTCTTTCTGGAGTCTCTCAGCATTTTGTGGTTACGTAGATCACAGGAGGAAGAGAAACCAATTTCCTCACTGATAGTAGCTTCAGCATATTTAGCATAGACCAGAATGCACTGCAGTTGCATCCCAGGCTGCATATTGAATAATGGGAACGGCTCAAGTGGAAAAACTTTTCTCCACTCTGTCTCGAGCGTTTACAGACGGGGACAAAAACAGACGTGTGTTTTAATCATGGAGTGACGGAAGCAATGGTTGGTCACTATTTTTGTATTGAAAATGAGTATTTTTGGAAATGAGGTAGCATACAGTATCCATTAAAAGTAAATGTCGTTATTGCCTAAATTAACTTATTCGGCTTTGTCGGCTATGTACATCTGAATACAGAGTTGTTTTTATCGCATATGTTAGCTAATTTTACCGATTTAGGAGTAAACGTAAGCTCCGTTTAGACAATCATACAGGACTTTACAGTGCCATCAGAGAACACGCACGTGTTTCTCCACCTGCAGCACCAAAAATATGAACTACCCCTTTATTTTTCGGGCAATAAGGCGCACCGGATTATAAGGCGCACTGTGAATTAACATGTCTAAGTCCACACATAAGGCACACCAGATTGTAAGGCGCATTAAGCATTGGTGCATTGGTGCATTGATTGGTTTATAGTTGCTAGCGCGTACTCCGGGCCTGGGCTGGCTTACATGACTGCACTTCTAGTTTAGACACTACAGTCAGGCAGCCTTGTAGACTGCTCAGGGGTCCTGTTACGGGACCGATCGGGTAGCGACACAGCGTACCGTAATGCTCCAAAAATCCATCAAGCGGAGTGGCTTTGTTGCTTACCAAAGTCGTGCTTACACATTTCGACAGATTTTTGAGCGAATTGTACCACATAAAATCGGTCAGTAAGCACAACAAGTAATCATACATAAGGCGTGCTGAACTATAAAGCACACTGTCACATTTTGAGAAAATTTAGTGATTTTATGTGCACCTTGTAGTCTGAAAAATATGGTACTCTATCTATCCCTAGCTCCTTAATGATTGCCTTACAGTAAAAATACAAACAAATTCCTGGTACGTTTGTTATCCAATGAACATACCTCAACTTAAGATAACTCCAAAGCAGACTAAATACATAGGGTGCGCATTATTTTTCGTCTCTCAAGAAGATTATTTCATATTTTTTATTAATTTCAATGCTGGGACATAAAAATAACCGAAATAACTAAAAATAATCTTTCAGGGGGTGGTTTTAATGGAGGAATCACGCAGCATGTACATTTGTATTATTCATCAAGATATATCAATACAATTATCCAAACTATTCTACATCATCCACTACCTGATAAAGTGCTCTAATTTGTCTATTAAAAAAAGACGTAATAACATGATCCTGGAGGATGAAGCCTTACAAGATATCCTCCTGTTTAAAATGAAGGGGTAAGGGGGAGTGGGGGGAAGGGTGGCAGCACCCTGGTCCTCCATTCCAGCATCCCTGTGTATCACTTTAATGTTCATATAATGACATCCCCTCCAAGTTTGTGTCATGGGCCATCAACAATCATAATTGTAAAGTGATTCATTGACTGATGTTGTCAACAGTGCACTTGTCAAGAGAAACTGATACCAAAGAAAGAGAATAGGGCTCTCTAATGAATATATCAATAACCAGTGACAGGTGAAGGAGTGCTCCTGACTAAATTTCAAATAAGCTCTTACACCTCTCATGGATGCCTTCATTTGTTGTGCGACCTCACACACTGCCAAAGGAGGATGTGAAATAGTACATTCGACAGGAAGTTGTGTTATCACATTTTTTTTTAAGTGATTGAAATTTTGTAATAAAAATGACATCTTAATTATGCAAGAAGACGTGTATTTTGACCTGTGCTCTAACTGCCTACTGAGCATTTTTTTAGTCTAAAAGAGGTCTAATAGACGTCTCACTGTAGCCTAGACGACCGGTCTAAATTGAGGCTACCACAGGTCTAAAAATGAACGTTTTTTTAGATGTCTAAGTTTAGACCAAGTTTAGACTAGCTTTCCAACAAAGGTCTAACTGTATATTGCTCAGCGGCTATCATAATTATTTTGGTTAAGTACTTGGAGATCAGTTGTGCAACTCACAGTTGTTTTTTGAAATAAATAGTTATCGAATTATGGGTTAGAGTACAATGTCTAAATTCCGTCTAAAAATATACAGAATCTAGACGGTTAAAATTAGGTCTAAAAGAAACCAGACGTCTAATAGTCGTCTATTGCTCAGTGGGTGCGAAAGAAGAGTAAATGATTTCTTTAAAATTGTGTCATGTCTCAGGAAGAATAGTTCACTCAACATTTTCTCATATCAAGGACACCGAAAGCTGGAACCTCAGATTTGCTCGGCAGCAATTTGTCGTCTTTGGCCCTGTGTGAGTGTTTGTGTTTGTCTTTGTGACTGTGTATAATCACCTACACACTTTCGCAGGGGAACGCTAGTGATACATCAACCAAATGAGGTCCAGTTGGGGCCATGATCCATCACCCAGTGTCTCGTCTAACAGTGGAGGTAATGAGAAAGGAACCTATGCAACATTGATGCGGCTAGGATGCCGAAAACTTGTGGACAGTGGAATTGACGGCCGGCTGAAGGACTGACGCCTGTTTAGGGTTTTACAACGATTAAAATGAAATATGTTTAAAAACTTGAACATTTAAATGTCATGGTAACCAAAAGTGGGTTGATCTGTCTTTGTGCACACGCTTATACATATCTTGCTGACACCTGCCATCCTCACCCAGTCTTGGGAACAAAAATCTGGCCGAAATGCAATTAAAGGGTCACTGTGGTGCTCCATTGTCACGTCACACTGGGGCTACCTCTCTCTGCCTGCTGCATTAATAGGGTTTCAATTGCCAGCGCCTGCTTCTTAATGGCTGATTTATTTCATTTTAATACCCTTGTCATGAGGTAAGGTCTGGACTGTGGGTCGCATAATAGGGGGCCATTTTCCTCTCTTTCTCCAGCGGGAATGCCGGGCTCTAAAGACCTCGATTTGATATGTGGGCCGCAACCCTTTTGAGTGAGGCAGTGGGGTGGATGAGATTGGGGGAGGGGATATGGTAATTTTGAATATAAGATGTGCAATATATACTTATTTATAACTGCCTACTAAGTTAAGATTACTTGCATGCAAATGGGTGAATTTGAAGTAAATGTTGGTCACCATCACTCTCGAACACAGAACCACGAGTGAGGCGCAGAGATTTCCTTGTGTGTGATATAAAACACTGATGTGCAGTCATATCTCAATTCAGCATGGATTTTCCCAGCCTCCCCGTCTTTGTCTTCATCTCTCTCTGTTTTTGAATTGTAGGACAACGGCAGCTCTGTTCCCAAGAGAAACTCAATTGACTGGAACCACTGTCATTTAACACACTATTAATTGACTAATGTGCATCACATCGCCATGCAGCATAGGTAGACGAGGACCATGGGGCCTTATCACAGTGGATTATGGGAAATTAGCTAAAGCAGCGACAAAACAGGCATTCCTGTCTTTTCTCAACATCATAAGAGCGTACAATTAGCTGTGGCACGGCGGATGTTGCTGTTTGAGATTATTTGCACAAAGGCGATTATTCTAATCACTTAATTCCGGTATTATGAGACATGTGCTCTGTTAAGCTTTATATATCCATGTCCCTAGACAACTGTGTGCAGACGAGACTTCATCAATATCATTACTCACTACATTGTTTTACTCCAACATCGCCTGTGTGATTAATGAATAGGCAAAAGACAGTGTACAGCCATAATTCTCACAAATCAATTACTCATGCTAAGGAGGCCTGTGTTGCAGATCAGCTGTAATATAGTTAATCATACACTTTCAATGGGATGCATGAAGTCAGTCACTGAGTGTGTGGGTGTGAAAACCTAAGCTAATGTAGTAAGTGTTGCTTGCAGATGGCGGTACAGTAAGCTACGTATGGTACAATGCATGCTTACATGCAGAACATGCAGGTTTTTATTGTCACACATGTCCATGTAATTGCATTTTGTGCATTACATGTTGCTTTTCTTGGATATCACACAATAAACGAAGAAGACAAATGCATGTACTCTGCATCATCCCCCCCCTCCCCTCAACACATGCTGTTTACAGTATGCAGCATCCAACTGTGAGCTGCGATCCTGGATGTTCCCATTAGCATAAGAGGCTTTGAATTTACATGTCTCTATTTGTGTGTTCATGAAAGGACAGTTATCCCAACACTTTGAAAAGTCCACTTAATCACAAAGAAGATACACCGGTTTATGATTACATGGCGCGTAAAAGTGAGGAAGCCAGCCACACATCTTCTCACAAATAAACGGACGTCCAAAACATCAATAAAATCATTATTTCAATTATGCTCCTCGGGGTGTCAAATGAAGTATATCCTGATTATGGAGCTGGGATCCATCCATCTGCGCTCACTCTCCAATCTGCCCTAACGGCTCTAATTAGCTTTCTGTCTATAGACTAATCTTTCATTCATCAATCGATTGATTTTCCTGTCTTCATTACTACTGGGCTGACATTGTGTTGCTGAGTTGAAAGCAAAGATGGCCAATCCCGTGCGAAAGGTTAAATGTGTTAAGCTTGGCAACTAGCAGCGGACAAACCATTGTTTGGGACAGGTTTATAAATGAGTGTGTCATGATCAGCTTCTCATTTGATGGCCATTAATAATCTCATGCAGCTGCTGAGGAAGAGACATGAAGCATTGTGTCCAGGGTTAGAGAAAATATGCACAAGGTCACATTTTTAACCAGATTTATCCATGTATTTTGAATAAAGTTGCACTTATGTCACATTTCCAGATCATTTCAAGTGAATAACTGTTATGTCAGCCGACCTGTAGCCGTGCATAAACGGTAACAGCACCAAAAAGGCTTCTGCAACAACTCTCCAATGAGGATTAAAGCCACCGTTGGCTGGGCGGTGGCCATGTCCACGTTTCCGTAATTTCACTACTATTTCCGATTATCGTACTATATCAAGAGGACGTCTCCCCCTCATGAGTTCGCCTTGTTGCCTCCGCCAAGCTCCACCCACTGATGCAGTATCGTGCGACGCCAGTCACGGTTCAAAGCGGAGATTACCTTGGTTTTATTTAGAAGAAGCGGGTAAACTTTAGCACAGTAAGAACCTTTGCACAGAGCTCGCTGCGCCTGTCAACGGGAAAATAAACAGATGTAGTTTTTTTGTTTATGACTGCGCGGGATGATGGATTACAGAGCACAGATAGCGGTAATTATCGGAAAACCATTAACATTCCGACACTATCCATACCCTCACACACAGTCTGTATAGCACTTTGGACATGGGATTTAGGATCTACAGTATACAGAGAACATATGCTGTGCGGAATAAACGCTTACTTAAATCCACTCGCCTCACCCTCGGGTTATCTTTATCCTATATTTATTTTTATCCTCATTTTCCCTGACTCCCTATGAGTCTCTTTTTTTTCTCCGCACCAAGGTGTATGGCTTTACAGTAATGCAGCGTCTATGGGAACAGTGATGGCATGCATTGTCCCTGTTTGACAGCGTCTCAATAGATAATCTCCGAATGTCTTGGATTTCGTTCAATCTATTAACCATAATGGCATATATTTAGTGCTTTCTAACTTTGCCTTGGGCTTCTGTCACCCTAACACAGCATTGGAAGTGGCAGCATGTTAAAAGCAACCGAATAGCACGCTATCTGCTTGTTTAGAGAGCTGAAAAGCATTTTGTTTACGTTGGAGGAGAGACAATTTATTTGAAATTCGCAGCAATAGGAGAATTAAAGCTTTCTTCCTCGTGAATGTAGGTGGATTTCAAGACAAACTGATAAAACCTAATAAGCCCAGTTGACAGGACAGGACATGCAAGGTGCTATTGTAAATATGCAATTCACGTCAACAAAAGCAGCTGCTATCGTGCAGTGGGAAAGCTGCAGCCTGCATACAGGTCAGTTGAGGATTTCATGTACATCCAGGGATATACTGGAAAGAAATCACATTAAATATACCTAAGCTAAGCTTTTATACAACACTATCCCTATCTTATTTGCATAAACACACACACACACTTTCAGACACACATACAGTAGGCTTACAGGAATTTGATCTCAGTGCAGCTGATATGGTGATGTCAAACTGGTGTGAGCTACATAATGTAAAAAAAACAAGCTCTTAAAAAAGAAAAGGCTGTTATATCATGTAAATTTATGCTGTCGAAATCTTGTATAAACTGCCATGGTTATCTAATACAGTGAGTTACTGAAATCTAAAACTCCAGTTTGTCATCTGTCAGTATTTTCTGATTACATGATAATTTCATGTCTCAGATCAACAGCATGTAAAATTTTGGGTTTTACATCAGCATGACTTTTTTTTATAGCTCTAGAGTTGTTGTCTTGGCTTTAATTGAGCTATACGGTCAGCTACACACACAGAGAAAATGTCTAAGTGTCAGTTGAATTGATTGTTCTTTTTTAATGTTATTATATTTTATCGTTATATTGACAGAAGGGGCGGCTGTGGCTCAGTGGTAGAATCAGTTGTCTCCCAGTTGGAAGGTCTGGGTCCTTTTGTTGAAAAAAAAAACAGCCGGATAACCAGAACAGAAGCGAGGCAAAGACACACTACAGCGTACCTGAGCTGAAGTTTGCTCTCAACAAGCTGAACAGAAGTGAGTCTCCCTTGTTAGTTTTTGTCTCTCTTTCTCTTTTTTTTGTACACTGCATAATGACCAAACCCATGAGTCTCACGGTATGCTAATCTTATGAAAATACACCGTGTGCCAAACTAAGAGGAAAGACGAAGCTGAAACAACAAACTCCATGGCCTTTACTTTTTGCCTGATAATGTTCAACGTCTGTCACTTAAAATCCTGTCGAACATTGAGATGAAAAATTAATATCACAAATTCACAGTAGATAGATAGATAGATAGATAGATAGATAGATAGATAGATAGATAGATAGATAGATAGATAGATAGATAGATAGAAGACCGACTCTACTTCTGACCCACAGCCATCTCAACACCCTCAGTCAAGTGTTCGTTGGCTCATGCGCGTCATTCACAGACCGTATAAAACACAGATGATGTAACAGTGACGTCACTCGGTGGTTTCTGTGGAGGCTCAGAGGAGTCCAAAGTGGTGGTTACTGTTCTGGAAATATTGACTCAGCCTCACTTTGAATCAACCTACACACAGGCCGAGAGGTGGAGCTGAGGTTGGTGTGAAGCCTTCTGGCAAGCAGCTAACACCGTGCCCTCCTGTCAGTCACTCAGCCATCCTTAAAATTATGCAGATGCAGGTTTTTGCATAACAGTTACTGTACTTAGGGATGGCATATACTGTCATTTTACTTTCTGTTCCTGTCTGTTTTGTGTGGCCAAACCACTTTTTAAACACAGGCTGTATATATGCGTTTATTTCTGCACTACAAATGGACATTTAAACATTAGACTTTAGTGAAACATCTTATAGTTGCCTCTGGAAAAATGTAATCACAATTTTGAACAACCAAAAGGAGAAAATTCTTCGCTAAACTAAAACTTGACTAAACATTGAATGAGTAAAATGAAATTAATGAGTGTCTTTGTCAAAGAAAAGAGAGCAAGAAATAAGTTTAGTATAACATGAAACTCGTATGAACTTAATTTATTGTGTCAAGGAGGAAACTTCCCCTTTATGACAATATCGTTCTGCATTTCTGTCAGGAGACAGAGGCCTGTCCTCAGATGCTATGGGTGGATCGGAAATGAACAATCAAGATTAGTTCTTATCCTTCCTTCCATCTATTTCAGTCCGGAATAAAAATTAAAGTCTGACTGAAGGAGGTCAAACTCTGATAGCTCCGTCATTTACAGGTCAAACCTCGCATGAACTTGATGGCACCTTACCTTAAGTGATCCATCTTCCACACTGTCGTCGTGTGTAGCGCAAAAACACAGAAACAAAAAGCCTGATTTCTGCCTGGTGATCATGTCCGCCCTGCACGTTTATGCTAATAGCTGTGGTGTTGCATGATTAGTGGCAACTATTTACAGTAGAGACATTTGCTAATCAACCCATAGAGTTATGCTGTAGATCTGGGAGCAATTACGTCCACACACACACATACACACACTTACATATACACATATATGTTCACATACAAAGACCACAGCATATTTTCACACAAGCACACACACAGTGAGGAACACATCAATTACCAGGGTCAGCATTTCGCATTTAATCTCCTTATTGGATCCTTGTTAATGTTAACTACTTCCTTCCCTCGCAGTTTATTTTGCTTTGGTGCATGTGGCCTCTGCTCTCGGTGAGTGCTCATGGACCAGATCATCTATAACCTGCACAGAGACTGACAGACAGACAGATAGTTAAGGGGGAGGACTGACTTCCAGCTGGAAGAGAATTTCAACTTTTATTTCAACTTGTATTTATTCTTTTGAAATGGACAAAAAAGAGTTAGTTCACAGCCTATAATGCACTCTCTTCTTTTGAAACATAGATCTAAAATAGTTTTGTCTACGTTTTTTTTCAATGCTAATTGTCTTTGTTTTCATCATTAGGCTGTGATCAGGCTTTGGTATTTTAGAACAAATCAGATGGCTCTCAAGAAACTGTCAAGATCTCATCAAGCTTTTATAATAGTTATTCATTTCTAAAGAACCAAATCACAAAAATACGTATTTCCTACTCTTGTTCAGTGATGGATTAAGTACTTCTAACCCTAGCCCAAACCCTAATTTCATCATACTACAGTCAATTCCTTTTAAAGAAAACTACAACATGAATAAAACTTGCTTGGTGTTTTTTTTTTTTTTTTTAAACTTGTGTCAAAATACTTAATTACTGGTAAATACTAAAACATTGCAACTATCTTAGAAAATCTCAAAACGTACCTACAAATACAGAAAATTTTGTTTTAAACGTTCATATGGATTAAATTATATTTAGCTTTATTGTCTTGTATAGTTTCCCAGGTTGGACACTAAATCTTGTCATTACACAAACCTCGAACATGGCCTTAAGATGCCTGAATAGCTCTTTTCTGAGATGAGTGATGTTTAGTTTGTTTGCACTATAGCCTACCATGAAGAGGTATGATGTACAAGTACAGCAACAACCACTTAGACAAATTAGATGTACACAAACACAGTTTATTACTGATTGTATTCAGTATTCAGTATTCTGTATTCATTAAAAAAAATGTAAGCTGACTTCAGAACAAGAGTAACAAGAAACAAAAACATTCAGGTGGATTCAAAAGTAATATCTTTTGAACACAAGCAAACAAGCTTCCCCTTTAAATAATACCTAAGTTAACTACTATTTTGTTAAATTATGCATGAAGTAACACATGAATCAACCAGTAGAAAGAACTGAACATTAGAATAAAAGAAAGGAGGAACACCTGAAGCAGAATTTACTGCTAGAAAACCATCTGCCTATACCAGATACTCAGAGATGGGAATTGTGGAGTCACCAAGTCATCTCCATGCCATGTATTTGTTCTGCTCTGTCACTGAACCAGCTGCTTCCAATGAGCAGCCAGGAAGGTGAGCTCATTAGTGAAGGCACCTGGTTCAGTAAGTGAGCAGAACAAATACATGGCATGGAGATGACTTGGTGACTCCACAATTCCCATCTCTGCAAATACTTCAAGCTCTTGTGAAAAGTTTTTGGTTTTTGTCAATTTTGGCACGCCTAATGGAAGACAACAGTCTTGGTCCTCTCCGACAAAAAACTCATAATTCTGACTCTTGAAAATAAATTAATTTCTTCCTCTGACAATTTTATGTGAAATACGTAAAATCAGACTGTTTCCTCAGCTGGTCAGCCCACACCATAGACTGTATATACTATGGACAACTTGGTTGCACCTCCCGCCTATATACGGATTTGAAGCCAAAAAGCTCCCGGTATTTCCGTGATTTTTCTTCATTTTCTGAAACCATCATTGGGCAGTAGCGTTGTACACATTCGGCGGGAGAGTCACCGAGAGTCACTGTGATGACGCGCGGCTCAAACCGCGTATCCCCTGGGTGAGCTACGCAATCTTCATACGCCCATAGGCTGTATCAAGTGTCAATCACAGAAAACATTAACCCCAGAAAAATTCATTTCTGTCCTCTGCCCCATAAGCTTTGCTGGCGGGGGCGGGATTTATGACCTATACTGCAGCCTGCCAACAGAGGGTGCTGTTCTCGGAGTGGCTTCACCCAGTGAGGAGGCAGACTCTATCCATTCTATACACAGTCTATAGCCCACACCAACCCTCTCACACAGGTTTCAGGCATTAGAAATTACGGCATACAAATCATTATTAAACCATTTTTGTTTGCTTTTATATATCATAACAAGGCATTGATTTGAATTTCACTTTGTTTAATAAATGTCAAAAAACTCCTCATAGGAGCTTTAAATAATTCTGGCTCTGCTGATAAACTGCAACTATGGGACAGTAAAAGACACTAAATATAAACTGGCAAAATATCAGCAGTAACATGAAGACCTGACGTTCTTTTTTTTTCAAACATTGTCAAAATAAATCAAAATAAACTATGCAGTCTACTTAAAGGAAAGTGGATTTCTCCCAATATTTACTGACTTCTATGAGTGAGCTGGACTTCTCATCCTGCCCCACACTCCGTGAACAAAAGTTCCCACCATTTCCAAAAGAGAGAGAGAAAAAAAAAACCTCTTAACCCCTCTTTATTAGTAGAGAGTGTTGGAACATTTTCCCTCTCTAATTACATAATCAATGGTCTTTTAAAGGTACGAGCCGGTCTCCATCATGGGGAGCAGCTGACCCTCACTCTGAACCTCTGAGGCTTACAAAAACGAGATTTGTACCAATCAGGGGAAGCTGACGCTTGACTTGGAGCCGTGGACAGAGAGTCAGGACCTCTAATTAGGACTCCTAACCCCATACTGACAGACAGATTTGTTTTTGCCTTGCCCCATGTTTGGCCAAGATCTTCTGGGACTCCCAGATCGGCAGATACGCAATCGAGAACTACCAGCGTCCAGCGATTGGTGTTCATTAACGGACTTGTTCAAACAAAACACAATCAAACTCTGAAAGCTGCCTCGGCGCGCTATCCAAATAATAGAAATAATAGGTCTTTTCCTCCTCTCGCTGCACTCCACAAAAAGTCAAGGGTATGCCTCATTCTGCTGGAAGTATTAGCCGAAAATAAAGGCAGCAAAAAGAGAGGAAGAATCACATTAACCTTGAAGTACAAAATGTTCAGTCTTTGTGGCTTTTTGCAAACTTTCTTATTAAATCTAAATTGCACAAAACGGATATGAAACGAGGATGAATGGAGTCTGATGATTATTCATCTTCTGCATTGCAGCTTAGACACAGGGGGCAGTTAGGTAAAGAGAGAGTCCAGGCCGTCAGTGCTTCCTATTAGGCATCTCTGGTATTTTCCAAACAGCTGCCTTTGATTATTCGCAGCAGGAGCCGCCACAATACAGCCATGAGATAGCATCAGCTGCCTCCAATGGTGCAGCCAGGGACAGGCTGCGAGGACAGGATGCAGATGCAAACACACACATACACACACACACATGCCAAGGAAAGACAAAGGCCAAGTGGCGTGGAGGAGAGGGAGGAGGAGAAGGAGGAGGAGGAGGAGGAGGAGACGATGGCCTGCAGTGGCTCTTCAGGGCTTCCTGTCATTTTTTTTTTTTCAGTCCCTTGAGGCCAAAGATACTTCCCATGGCTGGTCACGCTCATCCAGACCATTTCACATAGAATCCAAACCTTATTTGATGTCATACATAACCCCAAAGCACCCAGACGCACTTCCCCTCTCTGGCAACATTTTTTATTAAGCAACCGGGTGATGCTGCGGTGAGACATGCTCTTCTATGTTTTGTCCAACCTCCTCATTTGTGAACATGAAACTTAATAATTGTAGATTTCAGCATCATTATCAATTATTGCCTTTCTAATACAAAAAGGCCATTACTTTTTTTTTATTATTCATAAAGGGATGCAGATGTCTCTGTGGGTTTCCTTCCATAAAAGCTAATCTGATTAGAGAAAGACAAAGGTGAGTTCAACCAACGTGATGATAATTGGGACTCATTGCTTTTGCTTCATATTTCCTCCTTAACGTCAGGATAAACAAGAATATTTAGGAAGCTAATAATCAATCGCAGCATTCGGTTAGGGCTTACAGTCTCCATAATAAGTCCTAATGGGGCTCTAGTCTCATTAAAATGCCAAGGTGAGGTATTCCGCCACCATCTGTTGAATCGAGCTGGGAAGGAGCTCGTACAGTCTTTCTATTTCGGATCAAACCAAGATGAAGCCTTCCCCCGACTGCTCTCCTCTGCAGCAGGTGCTTCACGGTGTGCGCCGCTCTACACTCAACCCCTCTTTACCCACTGACATTTAGCAGACACACATTTTGATCCCCCGCTGCCACGCTGCCAAATATTGAAAGGCAACAAGGAGCATAAAGAGCACGTATTTACTTAGCACTCAGCAATGACACCGCGCAAGAGAGAGAGGGAGAGAGAGAGGTTAGGAGAGGAGAAAGTCAGCAGGGACCTATCTGTATCCATAGAAACCTCAATCAAAGCGGATTTGTGACCTAACGCTGTAGTATTTGCCGCTTTTTAGAAACAGTTTGAAGGTGAAAAGCTCTCAGTTCGCAAGAGCCATTTGGCGAATAATCAGTTTGTTATTGGTCTTAAATAGTCCCTAATTAAAACCCTGACCTCTGCCTGGCACCCCTTTCCTACACCTAACCTAAACAGGAAAAATCAGTTTAATTGCAGCAGGAGGAGAAAAAAAAAAAGCTTTTTTTTTTCTTGTATGGAGGAGTTAAGGTGGTGAGAGGTAATTGACCCTCTGTGAAACAAATGAATCCTCAGGGGGATCTGGCTCAGATGGACGTTTAAATGCAAACAGTAGTCAGTCCACTGGCAAGAGAGAGGGCCAGGACTGCACAGCCCCCTCAGTCCCTGCTGAGATCCTATAAAATCAAATCAAAGAATCTGACATTTTCACTAACCAGAGGCCCTGGCGCTGGTTCCGCTACAATAACATATGGACTAACGGGACAAATTGAAATGAAAGTTGTAAATGAAGCTTACGTTAAAATGCCTGGGATCAGGAAAGAGAGAGAGAGAGAGCAGGAGAGAGAAAGAAAAGAGAGAGAGAGAGAAGATTAGTGGTTAGGTGAAAATGTTTATTTTCACACTTCAAAGTTCCCAGCTTGGTGTGTGTGTGTGTGTGTTTAAGATCAACAGACCTTGTGATGAACAACCTGTTCCACGCTGGAAATACATTCTGTGAAACACAACAGTCCTCTGTAGAAACCTTGCAAAGCACTGACTGGGGAGTATTGAATTACAGCTCGACTTTACTGTGCAGCAGCAAAGAGAAATACACTCTCACTGCCTTTTAAAGGATGTCACTTTTATCTGCATGTCTCAACCTCGACACGGAGACACAAATCGAGCCTTTTTAACTCTGAGGAAACGGCTCAGGAACCTGCTGAATCAGTTCTGCAACGTGCTGAACCGCACCTCCACATCATGACTGGTTACCCCAGTTTGCTGTGTGTGCAGCAGCAGCTGTTCACCACAGTCAACAGCCACCGCTTAGGAAATACATTATGTTACTATTTTAGTGATTTGCACATGCAATCTTTTTCTTCTACAATTTTGACAATAACTTTTTTTTTTTTTCTGTGGCATTCAAAGTGCAAAAATATTGCAAAATGTTTTTGTAGCAGGAAAAGTTGGAAGCAGTATCCTGCAGCTGGGCGTAAATCAGTCAACTTTTTTGGCGGTTTTTAAAAAGCAAAAGAGATGTTGTAAAACAATAAAAGACATGAGACAGATTTGGTAGATTCACTCTGGCTAAATTTTGATTGAAATCTACTCAACTAAAACAACATTTCACAACCAGACGATCTGCCTGTCAGGACTGTAAATCATGAACTCAACAAGAAGAATTTGTTAGATTGTTGTTACACTTTCAAGCATTTCTCCTTTGCAGATTATTCATTAAGCTACTAATTAAGAAAAGTCCTCAACAAAACTGTAACTCAACAAGGATTTTTTAAAGTCAGGATCTTAACTCAGCCTGTAGATCAAATGTTTAATGTCTGCAGAGTTCATCAGAGACCTGGTCTCTGAAGGCCTTTGGCGTCAGATTGAAGTCACAGCCGTCTGAGAGCCACTAAGACACCCTGTCTATTAAATCCCTCATTTGCAGCACCAAGAGATGGCAGTATTTCACAGAATATGTGGCAGGAGCAGGCGGAGAGGTGGGGGATGATCAGGAGCCTCTGCAGCAGCACTGCTTTACAGCTTCTTCTTCAGTGTGAATTGAAAAAAAAAAAAAAAGGTCTTATGAGAACTTGTAAAGGAATATCTGAGGAGCATATTGTCATCCCATCCTTTGTTACATCTCTATATGTCTCTTTTTAATATTTACATCTCCCTGCTGGATTGAATTCTGCCACTGGCCCTCAGTTCCAGTGTGTGTTTAAAAGATAAAAGAGTGAGTTGTAATGTTGACGAAGTAATATACTGAATCACAGTCGGTTTATTTGTGGAGACAGATGGAGTTATTTCCTGTGTGAAAGCCTTACTGACAAATATTGGAGCTGAGATAGCTGTCAATCTGGCTTTTATCAAAATAGACTCCGAATAAGGAATGAAGTTAAAGGTTTTATCTTTGTAAAATCTGGTTTGTAGATATATTTAAAGATATATTTATCATACAGAAGAATATTAATTTAAAAATGTTATATTCCCGCGAAAATTCATCCCATTTAGAATCAGGAAGTTTGATGTTACACTGTCTGTTTACGAGTCAATACCATCCAGTCTGGCGACACACTTATTTGTGCCCTTGGATGACATGTTTGTGAACCGTGTATTGAGAGGCAGCTGCTCAAATGTTAATGTAGGAAATCAAAACTAAATAAACACGTTACACCAAATGTTTCATCAGCTGTCACGCTGTGGAAAAAGGAGGGTCACACAATAAGAGGAGAGACTCGCTCCTCTCTGTCTCCATCATGCATGCTTTTGGAGAGCCTGCCAAAGTTTTGAGAAGTGAAAGATTTTTTTTTTTTTTTCTGGAAGTCAATATCTGTAAAAAACAAACAAACAAATAAACATACAAAAAAAAAAAGAAAAAAAAGAAGCAGATTTAGATAATAAGCTCTTGGCTATCAGGGTGTATTGACTGCACTCATAATTCATTCTTTACATCTTTGCATAAATTTTCTGCAGAGCTAGGGTAAAACTTGATTTAGTTATTTTTTAAAATTTTATTTGGATGGAATAAATTTGCAATATACAGACACAAAAAATAACATTATTATTTTCAATCTCTGTGTTTTTGTGAATAAAGAAAAAATGTGTGCACCACTTTGTAGCTGGAGTACAGTGCATGAGTGACATTGCATGTCAGTGCATGCATGCTCACGGGAAGGCATACGTTGTGATGTGTGTGTGTGTGTGTGTGTGTGTGTGTGTGTGTGTGTGTTTGAGTTCTTCCTCCTTTTGCTTCCTTGTATCCTGTGCATATCTGCATATCTTTACATGCGTGAGAGTGACTCTGCGTGTGTGTGTTTTAGTGCATGTGTGTTATTGTGTGTGTGTGTGTTACAGTGTGTGGAGGGTAGAAGTCAGGCCTGGGCCTTTGTAATGAGCAGCCTGGGTTCTTTCTGGTTCAGCTGCTCCTCTCCCTTATTTCACGCTGCGCTGCTCTCCGACTCCAGTGGCCCAGTCACTAGAGTCCTGCGTCTCTCTTTCCTCCTTCTTTTCTCTCTTTCTTTCCCTCACACCTTTCTTTCCTCCTTTCCTTTCCTTTTCTTTGTGTTAGTTTTTATGTTTAATTTAATCTCATTTACTCCTTTTTCTTCATCTTTATTTTCCTATCTGTGTGTTTTTACACCTAAAAAACTCAGATGCAAAAAAGAAAAAAAAAAGAAGCGGGTGAGTAAGCGAGGACGATAGGGAGGGTGAGTGGAAGAGAGAGAGAGAGAGGTAAAGGAGCATGCATGAATGGTCACTGCTGCCCCATACCATTCATTCCACTCAGCGAAGCCCTCCAACGCCCCACCTCACCTCCTCCCTCTCCTCCACAGACACCAGCACCACCTCTGCAGGCCTCTGTGGAGTAAAGGAGCCGCTTTAGCAAAGCAAGGCATTTTTTAACTAGATGTTTTTTTGCATAAATGTCCTCCTTCCTCCTTTTTTATCACCTTTAAAAGGTTATATATCCAGCTCGATATGTTTGAGCAACTTCCCTCTCTTTTAAAAGATAATCCTCATCCTTCTTTTTGTCGATCTGACCTTGTGTTTAAGCACAAACTAACTAAAGTGGAGGTATATGGAGAAGGATAGGAAGGCTAATTTCCCATCCATCCATCAAGTGCATTTGCCCACTGAAGCTGAGAGCACAGATGCAGCCAGTAAGTGCTGCTGCCTCACTATACTCCTGCACACACTCATACTCAATGAGCACATTGAAAGGATGAAGTCATGAACAAATATGGAGAAGCATTATTAGAATAGTAATAAAAGAGAGGGGGGAAATGTGACTACGCCTTGACTTATTTCCCTTTCTTGTGATGAGGGAGAAGAAAGGATGTCCCCACAGAGGGTCCAATGAAAGCCAGCTTTCCAGAGAGGAGGCAGGGGGGTGAAGAGGACTTCCAGGCCACTCTTTTGAACGAGCAGGGATCTGTCAGTTCTGGAGGTAAAGGTGTGCGGAGCAGTTTAAAGCTTTGTGAGTCATACTTCAGAAACAAGTGTAAAAAAACTCCTAAGGTTTGCTTTTTTTATTAGCAGAAACTATTGAATCTGATAAGATTTCTATTTATCTGTATATCTGGATGTTAGAACAACAAACTCTCTGTGTAAAATTAAAACCTCCTTTTTGATCTGGCTTTTCACACAGATTAACCTTATCTCAGACTGCATTATTTTCCTGTTTTATCTTATTTCAATCTATATATGTATTCATTTAGTCATCTATTATAGTATTTCTGTCAACCTTTGTAATTTCATTGATTCCATGTCTGTACGTTTTTATGTTAAACAATCTTAGCAGCGTGTTTACATGTATAAAAAGAGCTATATAAGAAAAGCTGAGTTTACAGCTATCTTGAAAAATCAGGGGACGTGATCACTGATTAAAAAGGGGCATCTAAAAGTTTCATTTTTGTATTAAAAACTGTATGAAAATCTAAAGGTTTAGAGCCATTATACTTAAAGCTCCTGTCAGGACTTTTTGTTAGCCTATAAAAAGACTTAAATAACCAGTTCTGCATCTCTAAGATGTACAAAAGCAAATGATCCCATTCATGACTGTGAATGACCTGTAACTGCTGTGAAGGGGGGAGGCACACTAAAAAAAAAAGAGCCAGTTACTTTTCAAAGATCGAATATTAATGTTGAGTGAGAAAATTCACTATAAAAAGACATTTTTTTCTGCCCATTTCCACCACTTTCATGAGAATGACTCGAAATCAGCGACAACAATCATGCACACACTACTGAGCAACCGAGAAAATATCAGTAAATCCACACAGTGTGCACTCAAAAGTAATTTTCCTGAACTTTACAATGCAGGCAGTCAAGTGAATACTTTAATCGTGACATTTTTGTCACTTCTTTTAACACTGATATTGACTCACAGCATAATGTGATATGACAAGTGTAAAAAATGTGTGTCAGTATTGTGTGGATGTGTCATTAAATCACAAACGTCACAAAAAGACGGCAAAAGACGAATTTTCTCTCAGCAGTTCTACTCCAGTATAAAAGTGTTCAGGTCCACTATCCGAGGTCGGTGTCAAATGTCAGATGTCTTATTTGGGCGCAGAACTCTTCACACCTAGCTTCCCCGTGACAGCGATCCTCAGAGAATGAATCAATTTACAGCACACTATGGATATTAAAGCAGGTGATAAATACAATCATCCCAGGCGATCACCTTCTAAAGTAGCCGTGTAACTGTTTTCAGAGGCGTGAAATCCTTTATCAAGCCGTCGCTGGTTGACAGAAACAATTATCCAGAGAGGGAGGTAAATGAATAAAATTAGCACTTGGAGCCCCCTTGCACATTTGTGCCTGTGGCTATCACCAATGCAACGACTTCCCAAACTCTTATCATGAGCCCAGCACCGGCACCAGCACAGCATGGCTTTGTATCACATAGTAACCCCCACTCACGCCACAACACAACACAACACACACACATGCTCACATTTAGCCTTGTAGTCTCTGTTTGGCTCCGACACAATGTTGTGTTCGGGCAGTGGCTGTACACTTCATTACTGACTGATTTTTTTTTTTTTGCTGTATGATTCCAAACCAGAATACTGTGGTCGCAGTGCAAACGTGTGAGTTTGTGTGCGCGCGGCCTGTTGGCTCAGCGGGCTTTGAGACGAGCGGATCCTCGGTTCACATACTTGACATACATTTTTATTGCAACAGGAAACACTTAGGCCAAATGCTCCCATGTTCAGAGGTGACTTGTGGTTTTTAAACTGGGCATTCCTTTCCGATCTCTGCCTGGGAGCCGAGAGAGAAAGAGAGAGACAGAAAGAGAGAGAGAGAGAGAGGGAGAGAGAGGCTGTTAAATGAGGTCATAATTGTTTCCTCCTTCCCTCCTACCCCCCATGTTCACTCCTTCACTGGTCCCCTGCATAGTATTTCCTGTTAGGACGGCGACCAGACAGCCTTTATTTACCCTGTGCTCATTTCCCTAAATTAATACCCCTCGCCCACATCTATGGCATGGGATCTTGTTTTGTGAACCTAATAAAAGTTTGGTAAATGCTCCGCAATTTGTTCCACTGGCAGCAGCTGAGCCTGGAGTGCTGGGCGCGGTGGTGTAAACCAGGGCCTTGTGTTTTTCGAGCTGCAGTTATCAGCAGGGAGGATGCACAACAAGCACACACTTCTTCCAAGAACACTGACACACTCCACAGATTGGTCAATTCCCATCCAAGTGGGTATTTTGTGTAAATTGAGACATTAAAAACTACAATAAACTTGTACAGTGCCCCCTTCTGATGAGACTCTATCACCAGTAGTGCTGTTATGAAGGTTTTCTGTGGATGCAGCTAATTGTTTGATCTCTGTTGCTTTCCTCGGGGTAAGGTCTTCTGGTTTAATGTTTGCATAACATCTCAGGGAATACTAAAACTTACAATAATATATACTGTTATAGTTAATGATAGATTAAGTTGAGAGTGAAATAATCTGATGGGACCTCTGCAGGGCCTAGATCCCCAAAAAGAAATAAAACAGAAAACTACCAAAGTTATCAAAAGTACCAACATCTCAGTTGGGGATGCACATTTTTCTTAATGTGGTACTTTTAGTCACTATCTTTGGGTGTTTGGTAGCAATAAGAAAAACTTTATTTATGTGGTCTGACTCTCGGCTAAAATGCTTCCTTGCTCACCTCTCCAGTTAGCGATATTTTTTTTTGTAGGGCAGTGGGGGAAAGTCCCGTCTCCTTTGCCTCTGATTGGCTTGAAAAGCTAGAAACGTCATCACACGCTCAAGCCAAATGCGAGCTGTCCGCTCTGTCCATCGAACAGAACATTACAGAACATTATCGCACTTCTGAATCTCTTAACCCGAACCCAACCCCAACCCGACAGACAATGACGTTTCACAGCCAACAACCAGTAACCAATCGGAGCCCAGCACTTCTAGCCAATCAGAGGCAAAGGAGGGTGGGACCTTTTCCTAACATCCTGCAAAAAAAATTTCATCTCCAGTTTGTGCAGCTCCACAAGGGATGGTGGCCTTTAAGGACAAGAAGGTCCTGTTTTGTATTATAAGTATGATTCGCTTTTTGCAACCAAAAACTCCAATTAGTGCTAATTCTTGCGCACACAGTAACTGCCCTCTTCCTCCTTTTTTTGAGCTTCCAGCTGGTGTATTTTTAACAACCCAAAACAGGTATTATAGTTCATTTTAACAACTGCAGCTAAATACTACTCAGTGTACCTTTAAAGCTAATGCACTGAATTTTTAAATGGCTGTTAAACCAATTTAAATTATTCGTATTTCCTGTTTATGATGTTAAAATGGAACAAAATTGTCAGTGACAATTTTGATATTTTTTTTACATCGCAATTTATCTTCAAATCAAACACATTTGACTGTCAGTTTAAAAAAAGAAAAAGAAAAAAGTACTTTAGTATTAACAGAAAAAGACCAATTAAGGGAACAGTTGCCTTCTTTGTCCACAGGGGGTGCTAGAGTCCACACAAACCTAAATTTACTTACAGTAGCTTTAAACAAACAAACATGAAATCTAACATTCTGAATATGTGCATTATACCTCAGTATGGTCATCCACTGTACTGATCTTTATTTAGAAATAATGTGATTATACTACAGAGGAACGACTCAGCCTCTGTTTCCTGTTAAATTAAGTAGGTTTGACTTCATTATGCCTCAGAAAGAAGACTCGCCTGGGTTCACTGCTGCTCACTGTAACAACAGTTTTTTCTCAGACTCCTCTCAAATGTGTGAAAGTACTTCATCCTTTTAAGAGAGTGCCACTGGTTATCTTCTTAACTCCTCAGAAATCTAATTTCTCTCTGGGCAAGCATTTAAATGCCTAATGACTGATAAGTGCAGCTTGGACTGTGTGTGTGTGGTTCCTCCTTCAGCTGGATTGAGATAAGAAACTTTGCTGAGCGTTTTTTTCCCCCTTCTTTCTTTTTCCTGTTGGAGGGCAGTGATAACTCCCCAGCTCTTCATTCGCTGCTTATTTGGCATCATTATGTGTAATCGTCCTAATAGAATATGTCAGGGGGAATAGGCAGAGGTTTGGCATGATGAAGCTGCTTTCTGCCTTTTGTAGAGGTAGCCGCCGCAGAATGACATCCATCGCAGATGAATCTGTGGAGTAAATAGAGGGTTTCGTGTTGCAAAATGAGAGTATTGATGCCATCCTACTTGCCCTGTAGCCACTGGGTGAAGAGAAATGGTGAGAGAAAGAGCGACAGAGAGAAAAGGATCGGGATAAGCAGTATAGGATATCCAGGAAAAATACTACCGCTATGGCTAAGCCAGGAATAACGACTTTATTGAATTTGACTGTGGTGCATTACACTCTTGCATTCTTGAATGATTGACTTCTCTCTCATAATGTTTTCTTTTCTCCGTCTTATGTTCCCTTCCCCTCCGAGACATTCATCTTTGGACATACAGAGACACAAAAATAATGTTTCTCAGAGGCGATCAGCAATTGACCTTGGGGTTGTTTCGCTATGCTTCAGCTCCAGCAGAAATTGTACTCCACTAATTGTGTATAAAAATGTACTTTGAACTCAGTCGGGAACTTTAACTTGATTTTGCCCAAAACTGATTCCCAGGCACCCTTTATGTTGGAGTGTTTTGAATATACACTTTTTATTCAGTTGTTTCATGTACAGTAGCTCATCAAAATCCAGCTCTGTTGCCATCTCCAAAGGCGATGCCTCTGCTTGAATAGTTTAAAAAGAAAGTGCACTTTATTCAATTTAGGATGCCCCTTTTTCTTCTGATTGAAATTATACACTCTCACAAACACCAATGTCCACGCTTCATCCTCGCCACGCAGAAAAATCACAGAAGAAGCCACACATTTCGTACGCTCTTTCAGTCCCCTGACACGCGCACACACATTCGCTCACACCCAGGCAGA